GTGCCGTGCTGCCCCCCCCCCCCCCCCCCCCGCACACCAAAAAAAAAGTAGCTTGGCTGAAAGCACCCCCCCCTTACAAAAGGGTACTTCCAAACAAACATAAACAAACCAATAAAGACGAAAGGTGTACTTTTATAATATTTTAAGTAGCCCTTCCGATTGTCCTTGACACAGAATCGACATCTCATTGCTGACGCAAATATCTGGGCTCTTGAGAGCAGTCTCTGCACTGGAGCGTCTGGGGCCATCCTTATGCGGTGGAAACCGGCAAAAAATAATCCATTGCCCGGGTCCGCTGAGTATAGTGAGGTAGAGTCACTTAGCACACATCCTAGTCGTGGCTCAAGTTGCTATTAAATCTCCAAAATATGTTTATCCTTTTTCGGGGGACCCCTTAAACTGGTGGCAACCACCAGAAGGGCGACCGAACGAACGAATCCGGGTCTCTGAGCACGTGCGCGACCTTTAGAAGAGTTTGGGGGTGGCCAAAGGCGACCAAAAGGGCCCTTGCTCCAAGAAACATAGCACCTGCCGGAGGGTATCTGGAAGATTCAATTCCTTTTCAAGGGACCCTCTGCCAGGTGCCACGTTAGCGGAAGGGAGGGTACCCTCAAACAAGGACGAAGGCTTGTTCTCGCAGATTCTCGCCCTTCGAAAGATCGGTCCTGAATCAGCTGCCACACACCTCAAGAAGCGCAGCCCTCCGAAAGCGCATTTTTTCGGGTGGGTGGCGTGGGTGGGGGGGGTGGAGGGGTGGGGGGGGGTGGGGACATTAAAGCAGACCTGAAAAAATCAACTGAAATAAGAGTTGGAGCTTCCCCCGCCGCAAGAACTACCATATCCAGTTTAGAGGAAAGTGTCTTCCAGACCCCGTTGGGGAAGGTAGTGTTGATGCGACAAACAAATCCCCCAGCCAAGTCAACTCCAAAGAGGGCTTCCCCTCCCAAAAACAACAGATCCGAAATGACCAATCTTAACAGCATGTGATTTCTGATACCATCATGTCTGATGTTCCCAACACAAAACCAACAGGGTCATGTCCACCTAACTTTTGATGAGTGCCCCTATTTCAGGATCTCAGATGCCCAAGGGCCAGGGGACAAAGAAGAACAAGCTGCGCAACGCCCCCCCTCCGGGGAGCCCCCTGGGGCATATCCGGCCTCGCACAAAAAAACGGGAGGGGCCCTCGACAACCAGAAAAACATGATGTGGCTTTCATTTCCCCAACCAAGCCGCCCTTGCCTTCAATTTGCTGAAGTTGCTGGTCAATTTCTGCTGGCCGAAGGGCTACCGGAGCTGGATCGAGTTCGCATGGAGTTGTCGGTCCGCGCCGGGCGCCGGCCCTGGGTGTCCCTGCACGGACTCGAGTGACTCGAGTGGGGCTGCGGGCTGCGGAGAAAAAGTTTCAGCGCCTACGGGTGGCCAAGTTTTTAGGGGACCCCCCGAAAATGGCTTGGGCCTTCCTCTTTCCCTTGAAAACGCAAAAAAAAAACACGAAAGGTACACTCAAGAGAAGGCTCTGAAAAGTTGGGTTGAAAACCCCTGCGGACTATACTAGTCTCCCAACCAAACAAACATTTGTCATGGTGTCCAAAAGCCCCTCCCATTTCTGGTTGCTTCAAGTTGGAATCCAAAGAAAACCCCATAAACAATTGCACTTTCCTACATTTTGGAACCCCTCCGAAATTCTTGCTTGATTTGGGAGACTGGGTTGCCCTCAACATCTCACTGGTGATCTAAACCACCTCACTTGAGAATCACAGAAGGTTTGGCTTCTCGCTCGCTCCTGCTTTGCGGGCCCCACAATTGCCGCAGCAGTTTCCTTTGCACTTGGCGCAGTGGAGCAATTGCAGCTTGATTTGAGCAAAGTACCCCAACAACGATCGCACATCATGAAGCACACAGAAAACCTGACCCAACATTTGTAACATTAAACATGCAAGACCAAATCTGGGGAGGCCCTCCCTCCCTCCCGCCCCCGACTTCCTAGTCGTAATTTGCTGCGACCCATGTCATGCGCTCTACAGTAGATGACGGCAATTATTGACCGCTGCTATGCGCTCGTATTCCACGAACCAGCGAACTTGAGCCTGTCCAAAACACCTGTAGCACAGCTCCACGCTTGCCAAGCTGATCCAGGTGACTGACTATTTCGGGCCCCCGAAACTCACCAAAACCTCCAGGGCTTCATGAGATCATGGCCTTGAAAAAGATGGTCCCGATGCAGAAACTGAGCGGGTGGGGGGTAGGGGGGAGGGTCGTCAACTAGGTCCTCCAGTAGAGAGGTTAGAACTTGAGGAGCGGGTGAACGAAAGCTAGCAGTTGTTGCATGAGATGGGTCGGTGACAGAGTGGATTCAGAGGTAGCTTGTGTACAACGAGAGGCCCGGCAAGATTCGTAGGATGCGACATGCAAACGCACATGGTAGCGTGGCAAACCTTGAAAAATGAAAACAACGAGAGGCGTCAGAAGCTGTCTTAAAGCACCTCTGGGTTCTGCATGCTGCGTGTGCAAAGATTCTTGCGAGGTGGTTTACTGAGAAGACTGAGGTCTCAAATGAACAAGCTGAATCGGTGGAACATGTAAAAGTTTATAACACCAAGTCCAAAACGGTCAAACCGAGACTGCTGAAACACTGAGCCACTGCCCGGGGGGAGGGGTGGAGCAAGGAGGAATCGAGCCTGAGACGGGGGGGGGGGGGAGGGGCGGCTCAAAAAACAATCTTTCGGCAGTTGAGCCCCTTACCTTGCTTACGCAAGGAGAAACTTCAGCTAGCTAAAGCTAGCTTTCGTGATAAGGGTACCTTTTTTTTTCTGTAGTCTATTTTAAATAGGAAAACCCTCCCCCAAAAAAAGGGGTGAGAAAGGGCATTACAGGGGGACCTAGTCAAAAAAATGGAATTTCCCCTTTACGTAGGGGCGAAGCCCAAATTCGACGTCGGCATCAGAAGTCTGCGCTAAAACTCCCAAACCCTAAACCCTAAAACTCCCAAACCCTAAAACCCACAAGCCCCAAACCCTAATCCCTAAACCCTCCGGGCGCAGAAAGAGCTGGGAGCTGGCCTCAGGGAGCAGGTTTCTTCCACCATGGCCAGGGATGAGATGGAGGCCGGGTCCGAATCCTCCGTGGCCGAAGCGTCCTGAGCGGGGAGAATCGGGAAAAAACCCTCCAGCTCTTTCCTTTGGGACTCTCTTTGGGTCCCCTGATGGGAATTTTGGCGTATCGTATACAGGTGCTTCTTCTTAGAGGACTTCCCAAAATGGGTTCTAGGTCCTCCAGATTTGAGAGGTTAGAGTACTTGGTTTCTTTTCTTTTTCTGTAGTCTATTCTAGTAGACGAGAACCCTCCCCCAACAAAGGGGTTAAAAGTTGGCACCTAGCTGGGGGACCTCGTCTTCCAAGGATCCGCAAAAAAACAACAGGGCTCCAATTCTCGCTTTTGCTCTTGGCTTCAAATGGAGAATCAGCCACAGCCCTGCTCATTCAAATGGAAGGAAGATCAAGGCTTTCTGTGACACCATGGGTCGTTCCCATGACTTGCGCGATTAGTTTGCTCTCACAAAAAGCGGCCTCGACTGGATGTTGCACTGCCTTACAACGGTTCCGGTCTTGGTTTGGGGGTGCTACACCCTCTTGTATCACATAAACGTACATCAAAGTTTCATGGCTCAATCTAGCTTCAACAACATGACTCATACCCATACATGATTAGAGTTTGGCCCAGATATAGAATGTATATTTTATTGTTTGCTTCACTTTGAGTCACGGGCAAAATTTAAAATGTATCCTAAGTCCACCCCAGTATGCCCGCTGGCTTTCAGCGAAGGACATCCAAGCGACTCTTGGCTCGTTGACAAACCAAATCCAAAGTCGGGATGGAAGTTGGGCGAGGGCTTCCGTCGGTCGATTTTCTCCAACTGCCGTCGCATTCAAGTAACGGGACACCATTACACTTCCATTTGCTTAAGCCCCCTGGAAAAAAATACAATATTGTTGGTAGTCATAGATTCCCATTTAAACCGACAGGAGACAATTAAAAACATATTCTTAAGCAAATGGAAGTAGATACAATAAGGGAAACCACTCTCTGAAAAGGGATCCATAATTTGGTTAAAAAAAAAAAAAAAAAACAGTGAAACTCGTGGGAGATGTCACAAATCCCGAAGTGTAATCCAAAAGTTCCAAGATGGCTGGCAACTGTCACTAACGGAGCCACGGAAACTAGTTCGGTGTTTGGTTCTGCCGTTTGACTATTCGCGAAAGTGTTTTGGCTCCAGGCTGAAGGTTGTGATTTTTCCGAGGCAGACTTCCCAACAATATGTCCCTGGAAAATGAACCACCCTTGGGTTGAAGCCTACCTTGGAGTAGTCAGAGAAAAAAAGCACTTGAGAAGCGGCGAAGCGGCCCAAAACCTGTTGACTGTTGGTTCTGCCAACAACATGTTTATGAGGGCTTACATAGGACATACATTGGGCGAGCTGGCAGAACCATCTACTAAAAGCGTACTGGCATGGCCTCAAGGGGGGTTGTGCAATCCTTGGCATGTGATCGAACAATGCCAACTTGCTCAAAAACAGCCTCACACCCAAACTGAACAGAACCGGAACAGCAAAAACAACGAGCAACATGCAAAGCGTGCCCTGACTCCTCCCACGATGTTAGTGTTGAAAACATATTGGGGGGATCTGGGGAAGTGGATTTTAAGGGACCTAGTTCAAAAGCAACGAAAAGAAGAAGTCAATAATCCAAACTTCAACAAAGAAGCTGAACAGAGCCAAACACGCCAGAGCGGCAAATAATTCTTGGCCCACATCTGGGGGTATGTCTGATTCTGTTCTATATCGCTTCCCTCCAATGGGCGGTTTGGAGCCCGGTGGTTTGGTGGTTAGGGGGTGGGGAAGCCATTTACCCCGTACAAGAGCCAGGGCCTCAAATCCAAATCCAAACCACCAATCCAAACCACCAATTCGGGGGGAGGGGTTATCTGAATACTTTGTCTACCCCAAAATATGAAACACTGTTGGAGACCCCATCATCCCAGTTGCCCAAAGGACCCAGAACTAAACGGCTAACCTTTTGGCACCTCTACTCTAAATTGACCAAGATGGCAAAACCAGAAGGTCCAAGGTCGATTCGCTTTGGGCAACTAATCCACCAATCCAAAGCACCAATTAGGGCATATCTGAACATTTCGTCTATGAAACAAATTCTAGGTTCTCCAGTAGAAAGGTTAGCATAAGGGTACCCTTTTTTGCGGTAGTCTATTTTAGTAGGGGAACCCTCCCAACCAAAAAAGAAACGGTAAATGGGCACCTGGCTGGGGGACCTGGAATTGGGAGACCCCATAACTGATGCGAAGCTTCCTCCGTCAGGTTCTCTGCATCCTGCGAGGCCTGCAAAAGGCCTCAGGCGTTGCGACCAGAGGCTCATGGCTGGAGGACTTTCCTGCAGCCATGCTTGCGGGTCTCCAAGATCCTTTCTTCACATGAGAGCCAGACAAACTCCTGGAGGTTCTTCTCTCACGGGCCAGATGCACTTTTGGAAGATTCTCTCACTTGAGAGAAAAAACAGAAGAACTGTTTGTTTGCCACATGGAGTGTGAAGTACCGGAACCTTACAATTTATAGCGCTCAATACGCAGACTGGCTGGGATGTGTGCGGAAAAAAACACTGCGAGGTACCGAAACCTTACAATTTATAGCGCTCAATACGCAGACTGGCTGGGATGTGTGGGGAGCAAACACTGTGAGGTTGCTCTTTTGTTTTTTGAAACAACCTGGAAATACTGGGAGAAGGTGCAAAATGTTGTCCAGGATGACATATATACATCATGAGAGGTGTGCAGGGCGGAAGTTTCTGTTTATACCACCAACCCCTTTTTTGGGTCCCGTTTGACAAGGAAGCCAACAGGAGCTTGTTTGAAGACTTAGGTGGTGCTTGAACAAGGGGAAAAACCGCCCAACCCTGCAGTGTTGAAGGTGGAATCATGCTGATTATTTGGGTCCTTTGCATGCGATGGACCTTAGGGAAACCACCAAAAGAGATGACCTTCACCACTACATGGCAAAAACAAACATGGAAATCCGCTTTGGCTTCAAAGGCTAGTTAGCTTGGCCCGCATTGTGCTGAAACCTCCTTCATCATTTTTTTTTTTTTCGGAGGTTCAGTTCTCTGCTCGGCTTTTACAAGGGAAGCCCGCAGGAAAGCCGAACCATACTTGGGATCCCCCCTGTTTTGCATCCCAGGTCTACAAAGATGGTTTGCAGATGAAATCACATGACTGCCAACATGACAAGCACGGGCGTCATGATGCAAGAACGAGAAAAAACGAGAAATAGGGGCCCAGACCCCCTTGGGGACAACTTTGGTTATTTTACATGGGGGATTTGTGGCCGACAACGACTGTGGAGGGTTATTTTTCTTGGACCTGTTCGACCCCAACGCCCGCGTTCTCAGTCACCACAAAATGGAAGACCATGTTAGTCGCGGTTGATCCACAGCTAGGTCCTCCAGTGGAGCGGTTACCCTTTTTTCTGTAGTCTATTGTAGTAGGGGACCCCTCCTAACCGAAAAGGGTAAAAGGGTACTGGGGGACGTAGACAGTTATCATCTTCCACTGTTCGGCTGGCGGGTGCAATAGGATACACCAAACAACTCGGGGCCGTAAGTGACCCAAGCAGCCGGTAAGGGTGTCAAAATTAGGTACTCCCTCCTTGGTTGCTGTTGACCGCCCTGCAAAAAGTCAAAACCCCTTGATGTCAACCAAAAAGTTATATAATGTCTAAAGATCCAACCCAATAGCAGTTATGCCCCCTTTGAAGAAACCGTGCCTTTCTCCAACAGCTGACAGCGATTTGGGGTCTAAAACCCCAGATAGGATGCTTGAGGCAGCTTTCAGAAGGAGGGTTCAAAAGGAGGGCTCAACGTCTCTGAGTGCCTCAGATCCCCCCGCTAAAAGTTTAACTTCTAGTGGGGTAAAATGGAAAACCCCACACAACAAAATGCTAAAAAGCTAAGGGGATGGCTGGGAGCCACCAAGATCTTGGGGATTCTTGTTGCGCGCACTCCTTGGCCCAACTCTTCGGTGCACCCGCACGACTTCATTGCTCTCGCCTTTAAAACCCAAGCAGCTCGGCTGCTCCCAAAAAAAGCAGACCTGGGGACCTGGAGTCTCCATGACCCTTTAAAAATGGGGTCATTACCCAAAATTGGGGGGGGGTATGACCCCTTTTTCTAGGGGTCAGAAGGAGACTCCAGGAAGGCATTCCCGCCGTCGGATATCTCGGGTTGTGGGTCACCCGGTTTTTCGCCGGGACCCCGGCTCTCGCGGATGATTCCCAGGTGGACCTCGAGAAAACACCCCCTCCCAATACCCACTTTTTTCAGGGTATGATGTCGGCCCTCTACTAAAAACGGAGGTGTTTTCCATGGAAACCCAGGTTGTTCAAACAATACCCTAGAAAACATGGGTATCTTGAGTAGGGGGTGTGCCTATGTCAAGAAAACCCGAAACGAGACGCTGACGTACGGAAATTCCCCCCGGTTTCGGGTCTTGAACTGGAGCCCAACCAGAAGGAACCCCCGGTAAATACCAGGTCAGTCTGCAACCCCATGGTTGAAACCCTGGCCTCTCTCGCTCGCTGCGAATCGGTGGAATCCCCTCGAAACCCATCACAGATGCATGATACATAGCCCTGTCCAACATCTTCCACAGCAACGCCGAGGATTCCGAAGCAACTTTAGGCTCAGGCATTATAGCTACACCTTTAGCCCTTTTGCCAATAATTTGTGTGTTAGAACTCATCTGGAAGCGAATTCTGATGTTCGCAGAACTTGCAAAAAAACATGTTTTCCGCCAAAAACCGGACTGGCGAGCTGGAGACGGAAAGCTTCCACCGGAGGCCCTTCTGTTCAGGAGCAACGGCCAAAACTTCCAATCATCACACGTGGCAAGGGCGGAAGATGAATTCTTCAGCCAGGAGAGCGGCTTTTGTTGCACCCAATACAACCATTTGGTTAAGGCCCCGGAAAAAACAAAAAATAAAATAAACAATCCAGTAGTGATGAATGCTTTTTAAACCCAACAAGGGAACATAAACCAAATTATTAAGCAAATGAAGGAATAGCGGCCGTGTTTTGTGCCTATAAGGATGGGCCGTTCCTATTGGCAGAAGTCCAAAAGCCGAGTTCCGGCCAAGAGCTCAGAGGATTCGGGGCTGACACCCAGCCACCAGACAGAGTCGCGAAGAGCCGAGGAATTACTGCGGATGGTTGCGAAATCCAGAAATCGCATCACCTGAGAAACCATAGAATTATTCGATTCCCCTGTAAATCCCAACAAACAGTGGTTTCAACCATGGGTTAAAAGTGGTGTAGGGTTTCGTCGATCCACAGTAGGGAAGCCAACCAAGCTGAAGACCAGGGCCACGACTTTTGGACTATGGCTTGCGCAAGACACCTATGTACTCACGTGCCCAAAGGACCCAGAAACAAAAGGTTAACCTTTTGCGACTTTTACCAAAAACATACCAAACTTGGACAACTCAAAGGCTAAAAGCTCGGCTTTGGCAACTGAGTATGAAAATGCAAGATATGTTAAAACCAAATGAAGCCCTGACCAAACAAAACGACCAGGTGGCATCCGCAGAGACCCCTGGAACCGTTCCCGGGAACCCTCCAAACCACGCCAAAGCCAATATTGCTTCCAGCTATTGCCCAGAGAGGCTCCTGGCTTAGCTTTCAGTGCAAGACCTGACCCCTCCATTAGACACCCCGCTTCGGTGTTTGGGACCCGGTCTCAAAACCGGCTGTAGGGCCCTAAATTAATCGAAGTGGAGCGTCTGGGTGGCGAACATCGTTGTGAAAGGGTAGCTAATTGTCCCCAGTTCTTCAGTAAGTACCACCACATTTTGGTTGTTGGATTGGTTCCCGGCTAAACATGGTCAACGTGCCCTTTGACCAGCCGTGGTCAACAACATTCCAGGAGTTATATGTATCTATATCTTCCATAGGCATCCCTGATGTTCGCCCGTTGAACATTATCATAATTTGCCCACATGTGCGTATGTATATACACGTACAAACATACTATATGTATAATATGTATATACATATATCTATGTATATATATATATATATACATATACATATATATGTATCTCGCCGCATTTGGGTAGGCCCCCTGGTTTTGAGGCCGCAAAGGAAACTGCCGCCCCTCCCTCCTCCCCCAAATCAACCATACACTGTCACACAAAATGGACTGTTGCTCAATATGTCTTTCTTAAGGTTGGACGCCGCCCCCGCCCCCCACCCTCCCTCATTTGATTTTTATTTTTTTATAAAGCAACTAACTAATTACATTAATTAATTAAAAGCTGATGTTCCTTTTTGGTTTCCCCTGAAACCAACCTCAAAAAATGGTCCCCCCAAACAAGAACCACACCCACGCCGAGCGCGCTGCCAAGGCAGATCGCGAGATCTGAAAGGCCTCGGAGGTCCTGAAACGTCAGGCGAAACCATTTTCAATTGCGTCGTGGGAAAAAGCCAAACAAACACATGGGCGTGGCTCAAAATCAAAGAGCTGGGGCAAACCGCTGGTTTTGGTCTTTGTTTCCAAAGGGCCTTGGGGCCCAAAAATTGGTACCACTGTTGTGAGCCACAAACACATGGGAGGTGACCCCATTTGGTAGAAAAAAAATATCCTCCAGGTTCAGTTTCTCTGAGGTCCGGAAAATCCGACGCTGATACATTAGCTTACCCCTTAAAACTCCCTGCACCCTGGGGAAGTTCTCATCTTTTACAAACATATAGCCCATGTTACCCAAAAAGTTGAGAAAAGTTGTGTTCTTAAGAGGTAAGTGATACATCCGTGAGGCCACCTTTTTTTTCAGTTCTGGAAGTTCCCCCTGCTGTCTGGGGGTTGATCAAAAGGTTGATACACGGGATGACCATTGGAAACCACTAAAAAGATGAGTTGTTCCGCTAAATGGGGGGGATGGCACTTTAAGGGGCGATCGGGTACGCCAGGGAAGTAATTGTAATAACCATGGTGAGACAACCCACCAAAGCCATGGTTATAAGTCTCCGTTCAGTGGGTCATAACCAGGCTTACCAACCACTTACTAAGTACCCGATCGCCGGATCGCCCCTTTAATAGTACCATCCCCCCGATTGGTTTCTTGTTGAAACAAAATAAGCAACCAGCACCGCAGAACCATTTTGAGTGGACTCCCTCTTGAAACATGATAGCCATAGCACTCTTTGGTTTGCTAAGAGGGTTGGCGTTCGTAGGTTTACGTTTAGGATGGGTGGGGATTCAACATTTTGGGGATGCTCTTGAGCTGGATTGGGTTGCACCCCTATGGTTCCCCTCCCTTACGACTTCTAAACGAGAGGTCTCAGTGGTGGATTTCAAAGGCATAGCCTCCTTGTCCCATGGCAATTTTGATTGGGCACTCCTTGATGGGCAACAAGGTGGGGATTCAGTTCGCCGTGGGTCAACACCAATGGTAGCACTTTGGGGTAGGTGCACCACCCATTTTAGTCTATTTCAGTGGGAATTGAAATGTTCACTGAGGGGTACGGGGTGTTGACCCATAGCCAGTTCTGTCCGCCACTTGTGAGACACTTGTCTCAATTTCAGTTCGCCATTCGGAGAACCCGAATGGAAATCTAGCGGCCGCATGCTTCTAAGTGACCAACTGGGAGAAGAAAAAAACAAAAACGGGACACCAAACAGGCACCTTTATGGGTGACGTCGCACCCCCCAAGTAGCATTATTATGATTTGCCCAGCTACTCTATAATGAGTGCATGGTAACTGGAAGCTATGAGAATGACACAAAACATTTGCTTCCCTGGGTGATTTCCAAAGGCAACGCTTTCGGAAGAATAGTCTTCCCCTTCAAGTGCTGCACTCTTCTTGATCATTGGCAATCGCTTCCCCCTATTTTTGAATCCCAGGATCCTCTCCTACTTTTTCAAACATGTTGGACACGTACTTCTTATTGGGGACCCATCCTTTCCCAGGAAGTTTCCACTACAGTTCTAGTCTAAATGGGGAGCCCCTTTGCCGAGCACAACAACCGTCAAAGTGTTGATTTGCCAAGTAATAAACGTACATGGATTTGCTTACAGCACTTTGCATCTCTCTAGTAATATCTAAAAGGTGAAATGACAATTACGATTACGCTTTGACTTTACAATTAAAAGAAGAAAGGGAAGTGCTGAAAGTACCCCTATAAATCGCTGATAGAAGTTTAGTATTGGCCTAAGTCGTTAATTCCTGGCGTAGTAATACTTAGTAACAGTCAAATACAAAGAATATAAACGGAGGGGAGACGGATGTAATAATAGGGGGAATCGATTTCAGACATAACTGTCCAGTGTTTGCGGGCTTGCGGCTTACGTGTGCGAGGCAAGGCAAAAATTCTGGCCCCAAAAAGTAAAACTTGTTGGCTGGATAGTTAGGAAAACGGAAGAACTGCAGAAGGCAAAGAACAGCAGAAGAAAGAACCAGCACTTGGCAAGCATCTGAAGCACGCCCTATGCACCCTCCTTGAAATCAGCGGGTCTGGAGACCAAGCACTCAGCTACCCCGACTTCTGGGGGGACTTGTGGTTTTCCTGTCGAATCCCTTTGCCACCACCCCGGTTCATGTCTTTTCGAAGCAGCAATTTTGAGCAGACGCGCCACCCTTGGGCGGCTTTAAGCAGACGCACCACCACGAAGGAACCTGGTTGAATGGTCAAAAGGGAAGCCAAAAACCGAATCGCTTTAGGGCTCCAAATCCTTCGACACCTCTTCGGCTGTTCCTTATGTGGTGTCTCCAACAATCGTGTTTAGATTGTTTGGTTAACAAACATATCCAGAATCCAAAAGTATTCATTCCAGATTCATAAACCCGCCCCAGCGGTTGTCACCGAAAAGCGGAGAGGATTCCACCTAGGGGGCATCGCCCTGTGAATGAACAGAGGAGTCATTGGTGGTTGAGATTTAAAAGAACTGGGATCAAACTCAGCTTCCAGCATCTTTCGTCAGCTGGAAGAACCTTTGAGCAACAGCCCTGAGACTGGGTCCAAAGCGGCATTGTCAAAATGATCCTCCAAATCGTGGTTTAAAGGTAAACCACCCCAAAAGAAACCTTGCAAACCCTCCAAGTATTCACTTTCAGGACCCCCAGTGCTACTCCAACCCTTGCTATTTTCAGGAACCCCCCCCCCCCCGATTTTCAGGGCTTCACAAGACAAATCGATGCCTAGGTCCTCCAGATTTGAGAGGTTAGAATAAGGAAAACCGACTTTTTTCTGTAGTCGATTTTAGTAGGGGAAAACCCTCCCCAAAAAAAGAAACGGTACAAGGGCGCCAATTGCTGGGGGACCCAGCAGGGCTTCATGACAAAAATCGATGCATTCCTTCACCCGACCCACGCCCAACCTTCCATTTGGTTAATAACCCCTGGAAAAAAAAGAACCATATTTCCAGTAGTGAAATCGATTCCCTTTCAAACCAACAGGGGAATAAACACATATTATTTTCAGCAAATGGCCCTGGAAAAAAAGGGAACCCTTCTTAGAATTCTTGGGGAAAACCATTCTTAGTGGGGCAGCCATCAAAAAAAAGAGGGAAACATTGGTGCCACTGAACAACTGAGAAAATGGACGCAACCCAACCACCGCCGGACCGATCCGCCAGATGCCGATCCGCCCGACCGATCCGCGAGCTCCGGGCCTCACTTCCCGGGAGGCCATGGCGAACAAGGCCTCGAAGCAGAGCCACGCGCTGGGGCGGTTCGCGTCGCGGCTGATGGTCCTCGGACAAAGCGAGCCGAGCTGGGCACCCTATCGTAACACCAACCGGGGGGGGGGGATGTTCTTCATCAGTTTTCCTTTAAAGCCAACAGAGACACATCAAAACATAGTATAAACTCGGTTGCTTGCTGCTCCCCTGCTAAAAAAATAACTTACTTTAGTGGGTTTAATGGGGAAAACCCATTGGCAAAACGTTAAAGTCAGTCCTAACCTCCCTTGGCAAAATGCACCAAAGCTGGCACCAACTTGGGTGATGTCCTCCATTTCCTTCAGCCCGGGAAAAAAAGCAATCCAGTATCGGTTTTCCTAAGCCACAGAGACACGAATCAAAACATGGAGGAAAGGGACCCAGGAAATCCGCCCAATTCTCTCGGAACCGATTCCTAGTTTGTTTAGACAAACCCAAATCTGCTGTGTGCCGGCGGGGGCTATGAACATCCAAGCCGATAGACGGTCTGGAGAAAATCAACAAAAAACGGAGCCCGTCTCTCGTTTTGGACAGCTCGATTTCCCCCGAAAGGTGGGATGTTCCTATATGTTTTGCTGGCGGGGCCCCGATTGGTTCGTCGAAATCCAAAACGAGTTTTCCCCACTTGGACTCCTTGGCCCGCACAAGGACGCCATAAAATCCCGGTTGGCCCCGATCTGAACATCACTTTCTCACTTGCCCAGACCCAGAAATCAAAGGTGATCACCTTTTGGGGCCACTGAAACAAGGACCATTAAATTCTGTTCTATAGTTGGGGCGTGGCTCAAAAATTGGGGCCCAAAATACAACCCTGATACACGGACAAGAAATGTCGCGCCGCACCCTCCGGTTTGGCCAAAAGACCCCTCCTACTTTTTGTGGCCACCTCCCAAGCCCCTCTGATTAAACGACGTCTCTTTCCAGCCCAAAACTGAAAACATGCAAACAACAAGAAACATATATAATCACCAAAGCCGCTGTCAATACGTTTGGCAATACAAACTCCTTTCATGGTCTCAAGGGTTGCCATTCCCGAAATCAAAGAAATAGCTAGCTGGTGACAGCAAAAGTCTTATTAGGGTACCCTCCTTCAACGCTGGCCCCAGTCTCTTGGCAAATACAGTGAATGTGCTTATAATAAGCTCTCGCAGCCTTTGCGCCTGTATGGGTGTAACGCACCGGTTGCCTGCTCCCCCTATGACGCTATCCCCACCTTGTACTCCCATATACAGGAGTTTCGCAGAATCAAAGCCAAAAAACTGTTAGGCAAAAGGGTGACGTGTTTGCCATATAAATATGAAGACACTTGCCTCCTGACGACCAGGTAAATCACACAAGCCTGCCCTTTCCCCACTTTTGCATGAATGATAGTGATGGCAATTCGTGCATGCCTCGTGTGTGCGCTCAGCATGGAACGGTGCTGTCTGCACTTTTCCTGTCTCTATGTTTACTACTTGAATCAATTTGGTCGGCGGTGGCCATGGAATTTTTGCTTTCTAGGTGGACCTGTCTGGTCCTGCTACCTTGCATGACCTGTACCTTCTGGTGTGCATTCGACTGCCTCCGCTTACCAGTGCTCTCTCTCGAACTTTCGAGGTGGGCTACCCGGCCCGGCAATGGAAAATCTTGATGGAAATTCAGAATGCTTTGTACTATACTCTAAGTCGGCTTTAGCCGGTTGGGTTCGCATGCACCCCGCATGTGCTTGACCTCACCTGTGCACAGGTGCTCTTTAGTTACAACCGCTGTGTGGCGGCGGCGTGATCCCGCCGTCGGGATACACTCTCCGGAGTGTCGGGTGCCCTACCCGTGCCTAGTTGGGTAGGTAGGTAGTTTTTGGTGCTGCAACTGTGAATAGCGCTTGGCACCGACTGGGGTAGCTTCAGGCCATAAATCTGTGTTTCTGCGGGGTTGGGCTCTGGCTGGGTCCTCTTTGGGGTTGGTTGTTTTTGGGGTTTTGCCCCCTGTTGGTTTCCCCTCGGTTTTCTTTTGGGGTTCTGCCCCCTGTTGGTTCCTGGGGGGTTGCTTCCAGCTTTATGGCCTGGTAGTTTCCCTAGCAACGTCGTTCGACTGGCCCCGCCGAATAAAACTACACCTCTGATTCTTCCTGGCCCTTTCCAGCCCCGGAAAATAGAACAGATCCTATTGGTCAGAGAGGGGTCTGACAAAAAAAAGGACCGGAGACTGGTCCAGACTCGTCTGAGGGGGCCAGGGGGCCCTCCAACATCCGGGTTTTCCATACTCTTGTCGACCCTGAGAGGGAGGAATTATCAATCATGTTCCCTATTAGACTAAAACCTGCGGTCTCCTTGAGCTAGTTTTGGAGGAGACCCCAGTTTAAACACAAAGGCAGACAGACGTTTGTTTTATGCTGGAACCTGCGCATCAAAGAAACTGCACATCTCCAGAAACAAAGAACAATTGGGCGTGTCAATCTTTGTAGGGATCCCCGGAAATGGGTGTTCTTTTTCTTGGTTTCCCTTTGAAAACAGCCAAAAGGGGGTACCCTCAAGAGAAAACTCCAATATTTGTCTGGGTTCGAACATACATCCAAGACTCGCCGTGTTTCATGCCCTTAAGCCTTTGCCAAACCAGCCAGCACTTGTCTCCCGCCTTGAGGCTTCTTTTGACACCCAGGATGTTGTCCAACCCCTTCTAGGTCTTCCAGTAGAGAGAAAAGAACAAGGGTACCAACTTTTTTCTGTGGTCTATTTTAGTAGGGGAACCCTCCCCCAAAAAAGCTGGTCAAAGGGCACTACCAAAGCCAAGACCTGGCTTCCCAGATAAATGTCCGTCGCTCCGAGGCTCATCTTCATCATCTGCTTCAGCTCCGGGCAAATGTCCCGAAAGGCCTCGGAGTCGTAAGACACCTCGCACTTCGCCGTCTTCCTGGGACAAAACGGAGCCCCTTCTAAACCGCGTGGCTGAAAAGTGAGGGGTGGGTCAAACGCATGGCCCGTTGTTGCACACGCTTGGCGTGGTGTGGGGTGGTGTTGCGTGGGGTTGCGTGGGGTTACTTCGGGTGGTGGGGTGGGCTGGCGTGCGTGCCTGGCCTGGCTGCGCGCGCATATGTGTGTGTGTGTGTACACAGTTGTATGTTGCAAGACATCTCCATGATTAGAGTTAGGCCCAGGTATAGAATGTATATTTTATTATTTGCTTCACTTTGAGTCACACTGGTAAAATGTAAAATGTAGCCTAAGTCCCATTCCCCACCGGCTAAAGCGGAGCACTCAGAACTTCGCTGCTTCTCCGGACTTCCAGTATCATGAATGGAACTGTCCAACACGGTCAAAGTTTCATCTGCGACGTCAGGCTTCCCTACATGGCTGTGTCTCTTTTTAGGGACCGCCCCCTTCCCTTTGGTTTCTCTTTAAAATCATTTGCAAAAAAACAACTCAAAAACACGCACTCATTTCCTGCAAAGGTCGCTCTGTTCAATTGTCCTTGGCAAGAGGTACTGCTTCGGATCACATTGTCCCTCTTCACGTGGACCCCCAAACCGTTGCTGTTAGAGGAATCTCCTTTTGAAAAACGAAGCCTTTTGGATATTCAATGTGAATCTGTTCAAAAACCATTTGGGTGTGGGTCAAAAATGGGTACTCAAAAGGCCACATGCAACCCTGGATAATGGAACCAAGGACTAAACTCTGCGGTCCAATTGCTGGTCTAATTGTGACCCATCGCCATTTGGGAGGTGCTGGAGTTGATTTTACCCCATTCCCTTACAGAACTCCGCTCCCCCACCCACCCACCCACCCACCCAGATCGATGGCTCCGAAAGCCTCCCTCGTTGGCTCCCTTGCACCGGCTAGTTGTGTCCATCTTAAGTCTCACATGCCCAGTGCGAAAGCAAAGAATCGGCATGCGAGACTTCTTTGGTTCGTTGAGCCTAAAGGATTCGGAACCCTTCCCCAAAAGAAAGATCTAAACAAGAATTGGCACCACTGGTTGTGCATTCATGTTGCCCAGATCATGGCTCCAAACAGCACACGTCGTTCAACGGGCTATGTATGGCTATGTGTCTGGTCTTGTAGCTGGAGATGCCGGATCCCCCCCCCCTCAAAAAAAACGGCTGACATCATGCTCTTGAACAGACCTGGGACCCTATATGGCCGTATTGTTGGCATCAGACGTTTTGACCGAATGGCCATACGGACTCTTACGGCTGTGTTTCAATAACATGTTGAACAAACACGGGTTTCATACGGGTCATTTACGCAAATGACCAAGCCAAAATGGCCATACCGGGAAAAAAAAAGCAAAATACAGGAGTTTGACCGGAAAAAAAAAGCCAAACGGGATGCCAGGGAGTGGGTATTTGGAGCAGGCAATGGGAAGCTAGGATGAATCATTGGGACCCCGGATTATTAGGGAGTTGGCCCCGTTCAGATCACTTGAGCATTGTTTTTTTTAGAGGTTCAGAGCTTATACTCTGCTGGGGGCTACGCTGGGGGGCTTCGCGGGGCAAGAATTTGTGGGAGGGTTGGCTTCGCGAGGCTTCGCGGCAAGACTGTGGCTTCGCGGAGTGGCTTCGCCGGGCTTCGCGGATGTTTGTTCCACAAACATCTCTGACGTTTGTGCCCCCATGTTGTTGAATCAAGTTGAGTCCATGCGAAAGGGGGCGATGAAAGGCGGCAAGAGAAGCATTGAGCTTCAGGACTAGGGGACATGGCTGGGCCTCAAAGGGGTGGAGCATGGAAGTTGGACGGCGGTGGCTTCGCGGAGGCTTCGCGGGGGCTTCGCGGAGGCTTCGCAGAGGCTTCGCGAAAACGTTCCATCGTTTCTAGCAAAACCGGGCCTGAAACACAGTGCTCTTCCGGTCGTCTTCCCGTAATCTTCCTGTAGTCTTGTCGTAGCCTGCTGACTCTAAACATCAACCTTTGGAATACTACTGCCATGAAAGCGCACAACACACTTACCACGAAAGCACGCAATACACTCAAACCACGAAGTGGCTTCGCGAAGTGGCTTCGCCTGTGTCAATGTTACCGGGCTACGCGAAGTGGCTTCGCGGGGCTTCGCGGTACACAATGTATCGCACAAGTGCCTTCGCGGAGCTTTTGGGAGTTCCCCACGAAGCTAAAATCCATCATCTGAGAAAAAAACGCTGCTCACTTGAGGAAACATCCCCCGAATATGCAGAGTACTTAGATCCGGGGTCAACAAGCCACACCTTTCGAAAGGAACCCGGCTGTACTCCCCCGAGGTTTCTTCCGGGCTTGCCCCTTGGGGAGGGGACAAAGGGAATCCGAGCATTTTGGGGGAGTGCCCCCTAGATTCCATTCAGCTGTAACAAGAAGAAGGGGATTGGCCAGTCGGCCACTTCTGCGGATCGTGTTGACAAGTCCTCCGCAAATCACTGCAAGGTTCAGGAGACCGATATTCAAAAACAAAACTAAAAATGAAAATAAAAGCTGTTTCGGTTCTGCAAACCCTTCGACCAGGTCTTAGCACTTCCCCAACTCCCAATGTGCACATCCAACGATGGCTGAACGAAAGAGGCTACGCCCCGTGCCATTTGCGCAACCCATTAGAATCGGTCGCCGCAAAAGAGAAAAAAACAAAAACAAAAAAGGGATCCCCCTCACTATCGACAGGGTAGGGTGGTGAAACTGCTTGATATGTGTTTCGACCAAGTGTCGAAACCACTTCCTTTTGGGCGCCAAGCATGCCAAGCGTCTCAAGCATTGCATCATGAGTCTCCGCAGAAAACGGCAATTTGCCCCGGAGCATAAAGTAGATAATTATTCCTGCCGCGAAGATGTCCACCTGGCGGCTGGCGAAATGCGTAAGAGGTAGCTTCCCCATTCTGAACCCAGAGATCCGGATCTTTCTAGAAAACCACCCAAAACCCTGGGTTGAAATGGCCGGTTTTCGAAAAGAACGATGGCTGAAAAGAAAGGGCAATCAACCCCTAGAGATATGCTTAATTAAGATAAATCTTGGAACTGGGAAAGCAACAAAATCCAACTTTCGGATTTGGGCCCATACGGAGTCAACCTTAAATGGAAAATACTTGTTGAGACCCCCGGAAATGTGGGGGTAACTTCTTGTTTCTAGAATAATAGTTTCAAGGAAACCGAAGGGGAACTCACCATTTTGGAGGTACCATGACTTTGAGACAAATCCAATCCGGACATCCTTGATACTTTGACTGTGACTCTATCCCAAAGCATGACTCAAAAGCTCAATGTACGAACCCATCAACTACCTCATGGTATGCACCCCCTCCAGTTTACCGGTGAATCTCTAGTGATGGCTGAATTGAGCCCCCAAAAGAGGACAACATGGCAATATGGTTCGTACATGAACATATACAATCAACGGTTAAATGGCAAAGAAGCGAGCAGAAAAGTGCCTTCTGCCACGCCCGAGTCGGGCCCTTGCTGAAGGCTTGCAGGGTGTTCTAGTTTATTGCCTGTGACACATGTGCCCGTGTCAAGACTAAGGAGCCTTTTGGGGACGCTTTCAAAAGGGGAGCCAACATGAAACCAACGGATCTGGGCAACAAAATCAGTGGAACAAGGAAGCCTGGAATGAGCAGACTTCATGGCTTTTGCCATGGTTCACCACATGATTAGAGTTAGGCCCAGTTATAGAATGTATTTTTTTTCTTTGCTTCACTTTGAGTCACTGGTATGTCCTAAGTCCACCCCAGACCAAACGGAAAGGAATCCCTGAGTCAGGGGCGAAGGGGCGCTTTTAAACATGCCCAGCCTACTTCTCGGCCCGGGAAACCGGCCCCTCGATCAATTGCGACATGGCAGGAATTGGACCAAAGGGCGCTTGAAGTCGAAACCAGTTTCTCAAAGTGCATCAACTTGTTTGCCTCTTCAAAGTACAAGACTTTGATCGTGCGTACACTTGCTGCATAATTACGAGACTTGCTTTACGATAAGCCCCAAGCAAAGGATCTATACATCATGGCGAGCCTCCTCCTTTTTTCCGCTGCATTTCCCTGAGCAAAACACCTCTGGACACCTCCGCCACAAAAAAAAAGAGTGGTCTCCCTAATAGCAACCCCCGGAACCCTTCCGGAACCCGAAAATGCCCGGAGCCGCTCCGAGCCACTCCGGAGCCTATCTGGGCAAAAACCCCGAAGCTTTCAGCTGTTGGGCAACAAAAGAGAGCTGGCTGTGAATCAAAAATAAGTACCAAAAATGGAACCCTGGTAAATGGAAACCCCTGGTGGTTGAATTTTGACCCATACCCAGCTCGCCATCAGAAAGGTTCTAGCATTCGTCAACCAGGCATTGGTGAACCGGGAAAGGAACTACAAGTTGGCTTCTTAAGAAAGTGGTGGGATCTTTTCTCGCTTCCTAAGTGGATTGGCCAAACAAAAGGTCCAAGCTTTTGATTTACCACTAAAATGGTCTTCCGAAAAGCTTTTCAAGTCCAAACTCTGGAAATTCATTGTGGAGAGAACATCGAAGCAAGCTGAAACTGGAGCCCTTTTAAGCAGACTGAACTGCAGCAGAAGCCTCCACAACTTCCATGCAAACTACCCAAAGCGCTTGCAACCTGCTGGAAAAAAAAGGATTTCCACCTGCAACATCCTCGGAAGGTGTCAGAAATTAGCCCTTAAAACTCCAAGGATTGGGGAAGTTAACCTTTTACAGACATATAGCCCATGTTACCCAACAAGTTGAAAAATTGTGTTTTTAAGAGGTAAGGAATTCCACCTGCAACATCCTCGGAAGGTGTCAGAACTTTTCGGGGGCGCTTTCCAAAGGGTCCGGTTTCGGGGCAGGTCATCTATAACTTGGCTCCTGAATTGGAGTCAAATCGGACACCTACCCCCTCCCCCACTACCCATATCCACTTTCTTGGGAATTATCATGTCACCCCTCTACTAAAAGATACTAAAAGAGTGGAAAACCTGGTTCTCCCAACAATACTTGGAACAACAGCCATATTTGGAGCAGTATGATGAATGACCCTATGTAATACTGGGGTGAATCACCGCCACCAATGGATGTCCAGCCACAGCAGGGGGGGTTCTCAAAAAAAGATGGCCTCTTTTTGCTAGGCTGGAATTAGGACCCCCGCAAAAAAACAATATGGTTTGCCTGGTTCGTGGAAAATACAGGGACCCCCCAAAAAGCAAACAAAAAAGAAAAAGGGGGGAGCTAATCAGGGATCCTTACATTGTAAATGGCGGTTACCCTTTATTTTGGTGGAAAAAGCACCATGTTTCAAATGGTTGCAACATGAATTCTTTTAAGGAGGGAGCACTGCGAATTCTGGGGAAGTTTGGACCCCGGTGCTGCCTGCCGGCCTCGGCCTTGTACCAACAGTTTGACGCCGCATTTTGACAAATCCCCCAAATCGGTTCCCCTCCATTTGCCAATACGTCCCCTGGACAAAATGAGAACAACATTCCAGTAAAAATCGATTCCCTTTAAAACCATCAGGGAAACACAAAACATATGAGTGTGTCCTGTTTTCCCTTTCAAACCATCCCCACAAAACTGGTAGCTCAAAAAAGAGAGGCAACCAGATTCATTTCAGCAACATGTGTAGGTCTTGGGACTGGCGAAAAACCAGAAACCTCGCCCAAAACCCTCGCCTTTTCGTTGTAGCGCTTGCCCTGAATGATCTCCGGGGCCACGTAGCCCGGAGAGCCCACGCGCTTCTTCATGCTCTCCAGGTCGTCCAGCTTGCAGGCCTGCGGCTCGGTACCGAGCCGAAACGAGCTGCCCTTCCGGCCAAAAGTGGCCGAAAAGAGAGGACCATTTGGGTATGAATTTGAATAAGGGGCCCTTTGGTGGACATCATTTAGGTGGGGATTCATGTCCACCAATCACTTTTGAGGTGGTTCCCTATTAAAATTCATGGCCATTTGGGTATGGGTCAAAATCCAAATCGTACCCCCAGTGAACCTCCGATTCAAACCATTCCAACCACTAAAGTAGGTTCTAAAATGGGTGGTGAATTCACCTGCCAACCAAAATGGTACTGGTTTTGACCCACAGCCATTTGGGTATGGTTCAAAAAAAAAAGAAAAACAGGGGACCGCAGGTTTTAGTGCTTGGTTCCATTTACCAGGCCTAGGGAATGAGAAATGGAATGAACCCGGGAATTGGTCCAAAGGAAACCACCGGTTGGATGGCTTTTCTCAGGGCCATTCCAACTCACTCAGCAAGAAAATTGGTAGAAAAGAGAGGACCCGTTCTTTTGGGGGCCAGGACCATCCTTGGTGCAAGAATTGGAACCTTTTTGGGGCCGACTTTGAGTGGGACTCAAAAGAAATCATGGAGATGGGGTGGTCCCCAAATCGAAAAGTGGAACTACCAATAAAACATTTCAGGTCACCCCTTATTCGATTTGGTATTGGCTGGGTATGCCTAAAGTCAAGTGCCAGATCCGTCCCATGCTTAATTGTTTCCCCGAAAGTCCAATCCTGATTCACTCACTTGCCCAGAGGAAGAAATCAAAGGTTAACCGTCATGACTAAAACTGGGAACCCAAAAAGGGAAACCAAAAGCTGAAAAGGTCGGCTTTGGACAACTGAGATGCTGAAGAGTGGGTTCTGGCCTTATGATTCTTGTTTGGCCATGCAAAGCAGACCGTTTCGTCACACATATATCCGATTCCACCGCACGAAAGGGAAGCTACTGGGCATGATGTCCCAAAAGCATAAACTCCACAAATTCACATGGAACCTAAAAGCCACGTTTGTAGAGGAAGTCCAAACAAGGTTCACCTCCTTTTTGGGTTTCATGTTAAGGGGATCAATTACTGGTTTTGACGAAACCTCACGTAACCAGCCGGGCCGCGATTCCGAAATCTACCAGGACAGCACGCTCCCCATGCAGCACAACGTTCTCTGCTTTCACATCCTCGGTGCACTGCACAAAAAACACGGGACAGCTTCAAGCGGCAGGCGCATCGCGTCTCCCTGCGATAAAAAAAAAAAAAAAAAAACAAAAAAACAAAAAACAAACTGTTGGACAAATTCCTCTAAGTTCAAAGCCGTTGCAAATGGCTAAAAAACTCCAAAGGTCAAATTCAGAACATCCCTTTGGCAACACGTAACCTTCGCTCCACCGTCATGGAAATTACACCAATATCTATGTATATATAGATACACAACCAAAGGCGATCATGGTTGTGAGAAACATTTGGAAACAATCCTTTTCCGTCAATCTGCTTTTGCCCATTGCATTTTCGAGCCCGACCCTCTTGGACGACGTGCATCTGGACCTTGGATCACAGACAGCTCGCCCTTACAACTTACAATGCACGAGGCCGAGACGCCGGCGAGCGCTTTTTCCAAACTGGGATTCACATCCCCATCGCTGGTTCGCTTTAGGAATTCCCAACACAGAAAGTGGCCGACCCTACCCGACTAAGTCCAGATTTGAGAGGTTAGAAGAAGTTGGTACCAACTATTTGCTGTAGTCGATTTTAGTAGACGACAACCCTCCCCCCAAAAAAGTTGGGTCAGAAAGTTGGCACCAATCGCTGGGGGACCTAGCGCCATGAACTTGAGGAAGGTGATCCAAACTGACCCGCGGGGTCGATTTGTTGCATCCGAGCTTCCTGCAGTCCATCTTGGCCCACTGGGTACGCCGAAACAAACTTTTCCTGAGGCTGTTTCATATCTAGGCTGGAATTAGAACCCCAGCAAAAAAATATCTTTTTTGCCTGGGTAGTGGAAAACAGAGGGAACCCCACAAAAGCAAAAAAGCAAAAAGGGGAGCTAATTCTGGGGAAGATACTTGGGGCAGTCTAAACATGACTTCAGTAAACTACAGCACATTGTTGAAGGAGAACCCAGTAATGATTTTGAGGACCAACTTACACACCCCAAATGGACATACCCCAAAAGTCGCGATTCTACATGGGTTATACAGGGTAATTACATATCCCAAAAATCATCCCTATATAAGGCCGATAAGTGGCGCATGTCCATTTGGGGTATGTAAGTTGGCCCTTACAATGAGTCAAGTCAAGGTTCGAACATGGATCTTGAAATCCTTCCACCAAATCTCAGCCAAGCACGATCCTCAAAATCAGCCGCGGACCGGCATCTTTTGTGCCGTCCTCTTTCGTCAAAAAAGTGGAAACCCAAACTGGGTTGCCCTAAGTGGAAACATGGACATTCAACCCTGCGGTCCATATCCTGGTTTCATTTTGCCCCATACCCAAATCAGAAAATCCCAGCCCACAGATGTTCGTGAAGGTCTTACCCAGGACCTTCTTGAGGAAAATGGCCAGCTTTCCAGGCCCAGTGTGGCAAGGATTGGGAACCCTCCCCCAAAAAAGGGGTCAAAAAGGGCACTACTGGGGGACCTAGCCAAGAACACGTTGACTTTTGGTTCGATCATGGTGCGTTTACATCGGTTTTATCGGGCTATCCCAATGAAACCAGGAAGGACCGATCTCCCTGCCACTTTGATTCGGGCGCCCAAATCGGGAAAGCCAAGGCACGCGGTGGACGATGCGATTGCAATGCCTCAGATGAACAAATTAGATGGATTTGCTCCAGCAAGTTGCGGAAACCAGTGACGCATCAATTTCCCAATTTCATGCCCCCACCTTGGATTCAGGGATCCCTCCAATCAACAACTGGAGGGGGGGGTATCAGTCAGGGGTCGGCAGGGGTTGGCATGTTTGCTCAACCAAGCCTTGTTTGGCTGTGGGTCAAGAGTGCGCACCCAAACCAGGGCTCCCTATATTTCCCCTTAAACCATCATCACCCCCAAGGGATACTCACCTTTGGCCCAAGACGGTGATGTTTAAAACAGCCAAGGGAAATACAGGAATCGACCCCAAGAAATGGAACCCAAGACTAAAATTCCTGCGGTCCAATTCCTGGGTTTACTTTTGACCCATACCCATATGGCCATGGGTCAATAACCCAAATCGTACCCCGAGTGAACATTCCAATCCAACCACTAAAATAGGTTCTAAAATGGGTGGTGAATTCACCTACCAACCAAAATGGTATCATTGGTACCATTGGTTTTGACCCACAGCCATACAAATACATGTACCCATTTGCTTTTCGAGGGGCAGGTGGATCAAAGCAGAGAAGATGCCTACCATGACTTGCATCACGTTCTCCTGCTGGATGACCTCAGCTCGGCTTCCGTGTCAAGCAGATTGTCTCAACGGGGAATACCCAAATGGCCGTCCTTTCTTTGGGCTTCATCAACAAAAAATACTTTCTAAAAATGACACACCCATTGCAAGGGCAGATGGGTAAGCAAAATAACCTTGTGATACCAAAGACGTCAATTCTCACGACTGTGACTCAATCACTGTGTCGTGGCACTTTCAAAAACAAGTTAGAAAAGAACACCGTATGTCCAGATTCGGTGTCTTATGTCGTCGACGCTAGAATATTATATTTGCTTCGAGACCCCAACTGCAGGGGATTCCTTGATATAACAGAACATGCAAACCTAAAACCCAATTCCGCTATCGGACCGGGTCACACATAAGATTGATAAGATGGACCGAGATTAGATCCTTTTTTTCTTCGGATGGTACACTAAGGTGAACCAAACGTCGGTGAACTATTTTAGGTGTTCCCCCACCTGTGGAAAACAAAGAATTGATGTGGTCTGAGTAAAGAAATCCAAATCGCAACAATTGGGTGTCGGTGGCTTCTCCCAAGATAGAGTGTCGCCCATCCGTGCAGACCAGTACAACCAGGGAAACCGCATATCCGGCACAACTGGGCTCTCCTCAGATCCTTTGCTGAAAGTTTGACTTAGGGGATAGATTTGGACACCCAACCACTCAACTAGGTCCTCCAGTAGAGGTTAGAAGAAGGGTATCCTTTGTTCTGTAGTCTATTTTAGTAGGGGAACCCTCCCAACCAAAAAAGTGACGGTAAAAGCCTAGCTGGGGGGCCTAGTCAACCAACCAAAAAGCAAAATAGACAAAAACATGTTTTTATTCGGAAACCCAACCACTCAACCAACTTTATTCAGCAAACAAAAAAAAAAAACACGAAGCCAGCCGGACGCTTCGCTGGGAACCGCGAAGCGTCCGGTTTCTTCAGCGTTCGTCCAAGCTGCTCCGTCCGCTACCAGGTCGAACCTGAGTGAAGCGAAGCCAAAGCCTTGTGAGTGTCTGCAGATTTCACGCGAAAAGTGAAGAACTGTTACTTGGTTGACGTTGGAAGGGGAGCAAAAATTATCAAACTTTAGCAGTTCAGTGGTTGGATTTCAACCACTAAACCGCAATAAGCAAAGATGTAAAATGTTTCCCAACGACATCCATGGTTAGTGGCTTAAACGGAAATCCAACCACTAACTCCTAAAAAGCTAATAATAATAATAATAATAGTAATAATAATAATAAATGTAATAATAATAATAAAGCTGGGAGTCGCCAAGAACTTTTTCATTACAAAGTCCGCCCCTAAACAATAGAAAGTAAAAATAGAAAGCTAAGGGGATGGCTGGGAACCACCAAGTTTTAGTTAGGGAGTCTGTGGTAGACATCACTTACAATGGGGATTCATGTCCACCCACTTTGGAGCTGGTTCCATCTTAAAATTCATTGCCATATTTGATTCTGGTCCATAGTTCGTGAACCTCAAAAAATATCAAAACGTAACATCATGCCAGAAGAGATCGTAGTCTACAGGGACTGGTCGTAGTATACAGCCCCTAGCCGTTTTGTCCGACAGCTACGCCCTCCTCAAAAATTGGTCCTTTTTGGCATTGCGAACCACCTACGTCCCCCACACATGGGTACGTGTCAAACAAGAATGGTAGGTGTTCCTTTTGGACTTTCTTCAAAACCAGCTCCACCCCTTCTGCTTTCTCAAAACCGGCTCCCAAAAAGGGGGTTCAACTCAACAGGCAGACCCGCATCACATACATCCCCACACATAACTTGCTATGAATTTGAACGGGGAATCACCTCCCAAGGTGGTTGGTGCACTTGCCTGCTTGAAAATCATATACAGAACTGCGATGGGTAGCTGCGAGAGTCTCCCTCGTCAAAGGCAAGTTTGGATACCCCCAGCTCTGTTGCTCCCTTCCAACCACCGGCTGGTTGTATCCATCTTGCGTATTCACTTACCCCTTAAAACTCCAAGCCCTGGGGAAGTTTTCATCTTTTACAGACATATAGCCCATGTTACCCCCAAAAAGTTGAGAAAAGTTGTGTTTTTAGGAGGTAAGTTCATGACGTTACCCATGGAGATCATGGCTCCTTTCAAGTACGGCGCCTCGTCTTTTTAAACCGAAACCGTTGGGCGAAAGCGTTGGCAGCTTCAGCTTCAATAGGTCCAGAGAGCTTAGAATCAGCTGGTACCAACCTTTGTTTTTGTCTTGTGGTCTATTTTAGTAGGGGAATTCTCCCAACAAATAGTTGGTGAAAGGGCACTGGGGGACCTAAGCCAAAGACATTGACAGCAAGATCCGCAGTACCCGCTCTCCAGCCAACATGGATGTGGAGGCTCGTAGTCTTACATGGGTGAGAGGTCGGGCACCTCTCTGGACCTAACTTCAACCAGGGGTCTTAACCAAATGAGTCGCAATCAAAACCCGGTCGTAAAATGGTGAACCCAGAACCATGTACAGGATTAAGAAGGCGGATATCCGCAACTATTTTTGGCTGGGACTTCCCCTTACTAACCTTCATCTACCCGATTTGGTTTTGAGGCCGTGGCTCAAATGGAAGTAGCTGGACCCAACGACACGAACCTCACCGAGGCGCAAGTCGCCGCCGGCGCAGAGCTCCGTGATGGTGACCCACTGAGGCTTCTGGTGCGCCTCCGTGCCCGCCTCGCAAAACCTGAGGCTCTGGAGGCTACGCCCCCGGCTTCGAGAGTTTTGGCTGGAAGCACCCCAGCCAATAACACACTTACCCCTTAAAACTCCAAGCCCTGGGGAAGTTTTCATCTTTTACAGACATATAGCCCATGTTACCCCAAAAAGTTGAAAAGTTGTGTTTTTAAAGAGGTAAGCACAGGTCCTTAAAACAAAAAAAGAAGCCAAAAGGGTCCCAGGGACCCCCAACAAAGCGGGAATTCGTCTTGCCTGGGTGGGGGAAAGCAAAGGGGACCCGAAAAAAGCCCCACCCCCAAAAAAAATCGAGGAAGGTCTCGGGAAGTTGAAAAAACCGCAGAAAGCTTTACTGCCGGTTTGGAGGGGAGAAAACAAACACAGATGAAGCAGGTATGGTGAATGCCTCAACTATTGAGCATTGCAAGTAAACCGCCCCAAAACCATAGTAGACAACGGTAAATAAGGGGGTTCCCTTGTTTCTCTGCAATTATTTAAGGCGTGCGCTGTCTGGTTTCTGTCATGCCACTTGTTAAACTCGACAAACATAAAAACAAATACAAAAAAACAACCCGCCGAAGTCAGCAAACTTCGACAACCCAAAGCGGCATCTCAGGATCAAATCTCCCCAAACTGGAGCCAATCGAAATCCAGGTTCGCCTGAAAAAAGGCTAATGTTGACCCCGGATTTTTATACCCCTGCTTATTAATATGGGTGTGTTTTCGGTTTTAGTGGGGATTCAGACCACTTTTGGAGGGCCGGGGCTTGGGGCCCGGTCCCTTTCAAGGATTTTTGTTCGGTCTTGGGCCTGAAACCCCCGAGCGTCAGGCTCCATCTCTGAAAAGGGGAGGGTAATTAACCCAAAAACGAAGGGATGGGATCGGATCACAAGAAAGATGTCCCAAAGCCAGGGAGCAAAGATCCACAATGTTAACCCCGGATCTAAGTAGAACCCCTGGTAGAACCCCTGGTTGATTTTCATCGGGGGGTGTCCCCTTTTTGTGGGGATTCAGACCACTTTTGGAGGGAACACCCCCCTAATAATGGGACAGGTTTATTAATCCTGGGTCAACATTAGACTATGGAATGGTGATATCAACGTGGTGGCACCTAGTGGGTGTGCTTCTTTTTGTGGGTTTAGAGAGAAACCACAACAATTCACAACACAAACACCATGTTGGAGGGTTTTAAGAGAAGCCGAAAGCAAGACCACGATTTTGGGCGATACCCCCGCCAAAAACCAAACTCATGATAATGAATCGCAAAAAGGAGTCGGGCAAAGGGCAGGGGCACCATTGCCCCAGTCAGCGCAACAAGGCTTTAGATTGGGCAACTTGTGGGCGGTGAAGCTCAGATCACAGCCAAAAGCAGACAACGAGCCGTTTTACTCCCGAGCTTGGATACCTTGACAATGACCTAGAAATGAACAGGGAGCCCTGTTTCCGTTGCTTCAGCCGGTTTTTCGGCTTAAGCCCAGCCAAAAGGTAAAACGGTTTCACAGAGTTTCCGGTCTAGGGTTGGAATTGCACTTCCGTGTAGATGTTCCTGTGGCTCTCTTGCTGCAAATCGACCCCCACTTCCGAAAACTATGTTCTTGCCGTTGGCCCTGGCGGTTTTTTGGTCGGGCTTGCTACCCTCCCCAGACGAACATAGAAGCTCCCAGGACCCCTTTGGAAGACTTGGTTCCGTTTGCAGAGGCCTTCTGAGAGCTTTTACGTTAGTCGGGAGTGTATCGCGGCACTGGTGAGGGTGAGCTGAAAGCTTCCCCAATCAGATCAAGGTTCCGGAGGCTGTCGTGGCAACGTTCCTGCGGCTTCCTTGCGGCCTTGCGGATACCCCACCCACCAATTCACACATGGAACCTCACCTTTGGGGCTCCCTTCAAAAGGAAAATGGGCTCTCAGGACCTTTGTCTCAGGTTCCATGTTCATTGGCTAGGTCCTCCAGATTTGAGAGGTTAAAATAAGTTGGTACCCGATTTTGTTTCTGTAGTCTATTTTAGTAGGGGAGGGTTTTCCCCCAAACAGGTTGGTGAGAAAGGGCACCTAGCTGGGGGACCTAGATGTTCAGTGGTGGGAGGGATCGCAAGGGTAAAAATCTTCGCACCAAGGACACAAGGGGATAACCCCCCCCCCTCAAAAAAAAACACGAAAATCGCCCCCATCTGGCCATGTAGCACGCCCAGCAGAGTGCTGACGTTGGGGTGCCCGCACCTATGCAGAGTTCCAAAACTGCCGGGGTCACCCGAACTCAGCTTCCCTCGCTTTGGTTTGGAGCCCTGGGGTTTGGAAGCCTTCCATTTCTTCTCCAAGCCCGGGGTTCGGGTCCCCAAACCAGCGATTCAAACCACCAACTTTCATCAGGAGGGTCTTCATGTTCAATGACTTCCTCATTTTTGTCATCATTGTTGTCATCAACCAGCAATTCAAACCACCTGTTCAGGGCTGCCTTAGCTTCTCAACGAAGCCGGAAATCCATATGGGTACATGACTTGGCCCTATATCTGGGGTAGACAAAAAAGAGACGTCTGATTCGGTTTCATATTTAGTCTACAACAAAATATAGCACATCTCTGGAGGAGACCCCAAATGAAATCAGCGGGACGGTTTGATCGTCTTGAGAACGAAAAACACAAAATCGTCGACCTATGGGGGACATTGCTTTTCAGGTTCGACCTCCAACCTCCTTGTTGTGCATGGCCCAAGAACAAAATGAGCGGTGCTTCTTTGGAAGGACAATCCGCGTCCCCAGCATTTCGATGCTTGCTTGATGTCAATGCCTTGCATGCGGATATTGAAGGGTCCCTTGAACAGAATTCATTTCTGTACATGGGTGAACATAAGAAACTAAATCATGACACGACTATGCCGCTACGATGAGGTCATTTGGCGTAGGACAAAGAGGTAAAACCGCGCACTGACCGCTCTGTTTTCTGACGGAAAAACGTCCTGCACCTAGGATGCATGAAGCCCTACAAGTATTGGAAAAGCCGCCAACTTGTGCCTGGCGCGGTTTTGTCCATAACCAGCAGGAAGGGACGTTGCAAGTACTATTTGGCTGGCCTTTTAAAGGACCCCGACAATGGTGGTTCCTTTTGGTTTTAAAAACAAGCCCTACATTTGGGCGAACACATCTTAACACATGTTGGTCGGATCGAGCTGATATCTGACGTACGGATCAAATTCGATCCGCAGCAACTGACAAATCTCGGTTTTGGCCCTAATGATTTTTACCTCAGGTTCAGTGGTGTGCTCTGCAGTTCCTTTTTTTCGACCAAGGTACGGGTCAGTTCTACGAGCTTGTTTCGAGCAAGGACCACTGTTCACCATCTCGCGCTTGTGACATCCAGTGACCAGTCTTAGAGGCATCACAGTGACAAACTGGGCGGACTGCTTAGACTGGCCCTAAAGGGAATCTATCACTACAGGACATAATTTTCAGGGGACTTCCTATAAGGGAATCTATCTTAAAGGGAATCTATTTTTTCAGGGGACTTCAGCAAATGGAAGGGAGCCGTTCCTTTTGGTATCCAAATTTGCTTCTAAACCGGGAGCCTTTCACCACGAGGTCTGTAAGCTTCGCCTCGTTTTCTTTGCTCATGACAGCCTAGGTCCTCCAGATTTGAGAGGTTGCAATAAGTTGGTACCCGCTTTTTGTCTTCTTTTTTTCTGTCGTCTATTTTACTAGGGGATCCCTCCCAACCAAAAAAGAAACGGTAGAAGGGCACCAATCGAGCTGGGTCCCGGACCTAGCACTTTCCACCAACGCCTATGCGACTCGGTGGATTTTTATGCCAACAAGTGCGGCTCGTCAAGATGCTCGTCCTTTCGAGCTGGCAATTACCCTTTTGGGGGTTGGTTGCAAGAAGGAAACATGAGCAGTGGAGGGTTTCACCAGATTTGGGAGTGTCCAAAGTAAAAAAGGAAGACCCCTTAAAGGGTCGCCGTTTCAGTACCCATCTTTTTCCAGGGCGTGTCTGCATGTGGAACATAATCTGCCCTTCCAGGTAATCTCCTGCACAAATGCTAGAGGGAGGGTAGCTGGTTCTTGTTGGCTCAGTGGAGATAGGCCTACACAAACCTTCATAACCATCCTAGAATCTTGGTAGAACTGAACTTCATTCGGTTTTGGCGCTGCTCGTCTCTGTTTTTTTTTTGGGGGGGGCCGGTTTCCTTTTAGTTTCCCTCCGTTTTGACACCTTCCAGCAGGGATCCTTACATTATACACCTGAACATTGCAACTTGTAAAGGGTGGTTTCCAACTTTATTTTGGTGGAGAAAGCACCATGTTTCAAATGGTTGCGAAATGGAGATCTTTTGAGGAGCCCTGTCCAACCGCTCGGATTCTCATCCAGCGAAGCCGCATCTTCTGCAGGAATCGGATCTCCGATCTCAAGGCGTTGAGGTTGTTGGCCTCGTAGTTCCACACCTCGCGCGGCACGCGGCGCTTTGTTGCGATGTGCCTGCGAGTTGTTTCTTCCTTAAAAATGTGACTTGCTTCCATTGGGGTAAGACGTCTGGGGAAAAAAACCATTTATATGTCCAGTAGTTTCCCTTTAAAAGCAACAGGGGACAAAAACATATTCTTAAGCAAATGGAAGGTGAGGCCTGGAGTTCTTGCTGCGATAGGTAGGGAATGACCCCAAACTAATCAACCGCATTGTTGGTCATAGCCCCAAAAGGTGATCACCATGTTTCTGTGTCGGGCAGAAAAATGTTGATCCCAGATTCATCGACCAACCTGTTTATTGATATGGGGGCGGCCCCATATAGTGGTCTGAATCCCCACGAAACCCAGGGACACCCCTACTATTAGTAAACAGGGGCTTCTCAATCCGGGGTCAACATTGGGGAATGACCAAGTTGCCGGGTGTTGGGAACCAGCCGCTTTGGGGATTCCCAAACAAAGGAAACAACTCACCAGTTGGATGCATGGTTTTTGGAGGTCATTCCATTTCTCACTCCCCGGACCAGCAAGAGATTCATAAAATCCCGGTGGATCAAAAGAATTACGTGCTCCATTTGCGAATACGTCCCCTGGGAGAATAATGATGAGTCCAGTAGTGACACATCCCCTTTAGAGCAACAGGGAAAACCAACACATCTCCTCAAGCAAATGCAAGGTGTCGTTTGTTTGTGGAAGTCCTTCACCCACAAACCAGCAGGACGCGAGAACAAATCGCTCACTGCGATTTCGGGTTATTGGAGTTGCTCCAATAAATCAGAGCCGTAGGGGAGCCATGGGACATCATAACTTTTAATGGTCATTCATGGTCCCGGATAGTTCATTTATAGTCCCTAAGCCACATGCACCATGGGCTGCCCTTGTTGCTCCACATCAGAAACGGCTTTTGAGGTTCGAAGCAAGTAACCCTGGCCATGTTTAATCGTGCCTCATTTTCCAGCATCCATGGAATGACGAAGAACCATGCACGAGTCAAACATAGTCAAACTGCTCTCACAGCCTAACAGCCACATTTCTTCTTGGCATGTTCGAATCATCTGCCAGCGAACCAGTGGCAAGAGCCGCATTGCGGCTTGTTCAGGCCAAAGAACACAACTCAAATGGAAGTGTCTCAAAATGGCATCCCCATTTTGATGGTCTTAGTTCCAGGTTTCAATCCGTGTGGTTTTGAGGTCAAATTCACCTCTCGTTTGGGCTTCAAAAATGGAGAACACCTGGCAATTGTTTTGTGGCCTCCCGATTCTGCGTCTCAACTAGCACGGTAGCACGGGTCCCATTGCGACTTTTGCTTTCGGCCCGATCGACCCAAAACCTCAATGTGCTTAAGTCCTCTGGACGACAAATCCGGTAGTGATAGATTCCCTTTGTCCCCAAAAGAAGACCCAACGGCATTTTTAACCATGTCCAACACTTCCTGGTTCGATAGGCAGAAAATGACAAATGGAATGACCCCGAAAGAAACCATCCAACTGGCTTCCTTGACGGCTTCCTAGATGGATTGAACCATCCCCCATGGCTTCCTTTAAGGAAATCCCCACGTTCATTCCCTGAACCCGAAAGCCTTTTCGGTCTCGTTGTCATTTCCTACGCTCGTTTGGCTCGCTTATTTCCCCTTTCTGTAGGTTTAGACTCACAACCAGCAAACGGGCGAAACAAAGTGGCCAAACTCGTTGTTTACTGCTGACATGTTCCAAACCCAACAAGTTTAAATAAAGTCCAGGCAGTTCCAGGGAGTAAGCTTAAAACAACACCCACGTGCATCTGTACATATTTGTGTTTATGCAGATTGCATGAAACAAAAACAACTATGTATATATATATATATGTATATATATGTATGCATGTATACATAGTTTCTACATATATTTATATACATATGTGTATATATATATACACATACATAATGCATGTATACATGGGCGCATGATAGGGCTGAGGGCATCCTGAGGTATGCCAAACTTGCAGCAAAGGCTTCAGCAAAGAACCCGCTTGGTCAATGCTCAACCCAAGGAGTTAAACACACTTAAATCTGTTCTAGCCGCATATCAAGAGCAAATGTTCAAAGATCTAAGTCGCCCAAGGGTTCATTGAAGAGTTTCACTCCCTGAGTTCCTGGACTGCAAGCTTGTTGACATTGGACCATTTTAGTGGTAAACAAACAGTTTTCTACTGGTACCTTCCCCATTCTTTCCAGGCATCCTTCTTTCTTACACAAAAAAACACCTGTGGAAACAGCTGGCGGTTGAAAAGAACGATCGTTGAGAAGAACGGGACATCAACCCCTAGAAGTTTGGTCACTTCTGTCAGCCCGTCCACTCCTTCGGAAGCCTCGCTTAAACCATTCGAGCGTGGGGACAGCTACGGATCGCCCCAGGGACCAAAGTCGCATGAGCTTCCAACATTTTCCCGGAGGGACCTGGCAGAGTAGGGATCGAGTCCCCCTGTTGGTGGGAAATGCACGCATTCTGCAGAAAAAAATAAGAAACGCAACATATTCCCAGAGATGTGCAGAAGAAAAAAAGAAGAAAAAAACACGCAACATAGTTCCAGTACTAGATTCTCGTTGAAGGCAACAAGGGAACATAAAGGATCTTCAGCGAATGGAAGCTTCTGAACCCCAATGAGCTCATCCCAAACTCCCGAATGGATCGATCAATCTTGACTGAACCTATGGACAAAGCACGACGCTCTCCCGCTCACATGTCCCTGCAGCAAACAAACACACATATTCCTGGGAACAGACTCGCGTTCAAACCAAAAAGGGAACATTCAACAAATCCTCAGCAAATGGAACTAGGTCCTCCAGTAGAGAGGTTAGAAGAAGGGTACCAACTGTTTTTCTCTGTGGTCTATGCGAGTAGACGAACTCCCTCACCAAAAAAGAAACGGTAACAGGGCACCAATTGCTGGGGGACCTACTGTGGATGGACGAAATCCTGCACCACCTCAGGAACCCTGGAATGATGGTTCCCCTGTAAATTCCAATAAAGAATGGGTTCCCATGGTTTCCAAGTGGTGCGGTCTCGGATTTCGTAACCATCCACAGTCGGGAACTTCCGACGCTTCCGATCGAATCAATCTTCACCTTGACGGCCACCATGTCGAGGCGGTGAATGCCGTCCATATCCAGCAACCTTCGGTCCTCCTTCATGAGCTGCCTGAGTCCAAACTTTTTCCGGACCCTCTGCTTCCAAAAGAAAGAAGTGTGCGCCTTTGGGGAACCAAAAGGAAAACACAAGGCGAAGATGCCTTAGGTGAAAGACATAAATCAACCTCATTGGTCATTGGTGTTCATATTGAACACCAGCAAAGCTTGCAGTTTGTTGGTTTCATCTCAACCAGACAAAACACACAAAGGCTCCAACTGTACGCAACAAACCCGTGTCACACAAAGACACATTTAGCAGTTTTGGCTTTCCGACAACACGTTGCTTTGAATGATTTGTCCAAACAACCGGACACAACAAGTCGAATGCATATGTCCCCTGCATGGGAAAAAAGGAAATCTCCATAGACTCCACTGTCCCACTTACACGAACTCAACATGCCCCACCTATGTCTTATATAAGGATGCCTTCTACCCTGGACGGCTACTGTACAATCTCTGCCTCTGAAATACATTTCGCAACTTCTTCGCAATGGGTGGACCCGATTCCGCCAGCTTTGCTTCTGGGGTGTCCAACAAGGGTCCCCTTTTCGGATGCTTCTTGGGCGGAAAGGAAACAAACAACCTGCAGGTTTTGAAACATGTCCAACACATCAACCGAGGCTTTGCATCATGGCTCGTCCTAGCCCCGAATTGAATAGGCGAGCTCGCCATAAACAAACAAAGGCAGAACATGTGTTTGAAGAAACCGCCGTGAGCGCTGCTCCCACAAGCCACCAAACTGCGAAGAATTCACCCCCGAACAAGTAGGGAACAGCCCCCCAACCCCCCCCTCCCCCTCCGCTCCCCCTCCTCCCCCCTTCTGCCTGTGGCATGGTGGGCTAGTTGGAGTTCGTTTCGGGTTCGGTTTGGGTTGGTTCCAGGGATGGCTTGAGGTTGGCTTTCGGTCGTCTTGGAAGGGTAGGTATACGGGATGCGTTTTGGGAACGCCCTGGCCGCCCTCTGGAGTGGTTTTAGGGTTGCTTGCGTTTTGTTTGGTCTTAGTTGGCTTGCTTACTCATCAAAGGAAGTTTAGACACAGCGGTGCAGGGGACCCAGTAGGAGGGCGGAGGAAGGGGCCCATATGTATTTGTGGCTATTTATTAGCACAGCTGCCACTTTGTTTTGTTCATCATGTACAAGAAGGGTTGCTGATGAACTGACTTGATTGATGCTTTAGTGGGCTGACTGTTGTGGAGACACTTGTAAATTTCAATCTCAGCTTGCTGTCTGACCCTGGGAATGGAGGGTCGTTCACTTGCCAGTCAGCCAGTGACAGTTTGACTAGAATTTCGAACTACGACTTGAGCAAGCCACAATGGGGTCAGCCAAAGCTTGGCAGCTGTTGACCGCTCTGCCAAAAGTTAAAACATTTTGTGGGTTCAATGGAAAGCCTTGATTTCCCAAAGAGTTAAAGTCTAAAGATCCCGCGAGTTTTGCCTCAAATAAAAAGGACACCGACCATTGCAAGCGGCCCTCTTCTTGGATGACCTCCCTGGCACATAAGTCCCAAGTGGGCCAATTTCCCTCTAAGTGGTGGCTTGGATTGGTGATTGGGTGATTTGGGATTGGTGATTTCCCATGTACCCTCCACAAGAACCAGGGGTTCAAAACACCAACCCACAAACTCATTGGGGCGTGAACTGATACTAAGAACTGAGAACCAGCAAGACGCCATCCAGGGTACCAGAATTTCGTCCAAGGTTTTCCTTTCAGTTGATCTTGGGGAAACCAAAAAGGACACCAACGCATAGTGGTATATCTTTAAATAGGGGATCCCCACCGGCCCCCCCCCCAAAAAAAAAAGAAAAGAAAGAAAACAGGTTTTCTTTTGGTTTCCCTTAACCACCACATAAAATGGGTCTCCCTCAAAAAACGGAGCCATCCAAAGCAAGGCTCGAAACACAGACATGCCTTCCGAAGCCCGCGGAGTTCAACTAAGATATTGCCCAAGGCGCCCAGCGGCCGAGGCCGGCGACCGCGCCGCGCCGGTGAAGACCTGAGGGAGATGTATATCCCCATGTGACTGTGGCTCCGTTTTTTGAGGGAACCAGAAAACCACAATTTTTATGGGTTCCGTTTTTTTTGAGGGAACCCGTTTTACCTTGGTGGTTAAGGGAAACAAACCAGAAAACCGCATTTTTTTTCATTTGTAGGGACCCTCCCCTAAAGACACACTACGTTGGTGTCCTTTGTGAGTGTGGTTCATTTTTGTTAAAGGCTCGCATCCATGGAATTCACTTGGTTCGGCAGGATTCAAAGCGCATTAAGCTCAATCCTGACAGAAACAGCTTGCCCACCAGCCACTATGAAATTTCTACAAACTGCACGTCTCCCTGTTGAATGACAGCTCGTCTCGTCCCTGATACATTCGACGGATTGCCAGCAGCGCCTCTGTAGTAGGAATCCATGTTGAGAGATTCAGTGCGTCCTTTCAGGTTGGTTTTAAGGGGGTTGAACCCCATACTTGTTTATGTTGAGGATACACCCTTTGGAGTGCCTTACAAAAAAGAAACCATAAAGAAACTAACCATGTTTGAGGCTCCATATCAAGGACTGAGAATAGTTTTTTGGGGGATTCCTTGCTGGGGTCGGGGGATTTGTAGTTTTCGATGTTGCGTGGGGATGCTCCAAGATGGTTGGAGGACGTAAAACATCCAAAACATTATGCCCAAAAAGGTCCCCCGAAGACAATCAAACGCTCTTGGGTGTACCAGGTGCAAACATTCAGAAGCCCAATCTGTGAGTTGTCGGGTCAGTCCTTCGTTCTGAGTCAACTATTTCAAAACCGATTGGAAATCCCACTTTTGAGGGTCTCGTTGGTTGCTTTTGCAAGATCACGACTAAAAAGGGTCCATATCACAACGTTTCTCAGTTTCTCAAAGGATTCGAACCCTATCCTGAAATGGCAAGGGTTTCCCTTTGGTGTCCAATTAAACACCCCAACCATTTTCACGACACCATCTTGGTTTCAAGAAAAACTGTGATTTCCCTTTACAGCACGCTCTAAACACCGAAATGGGTGTGGATTTCCTTTAAACACCATTTTGAGAAAGCCAAGAGACGACAAATTGAAGAACAGCTGGGGGAAACATCACAAATATGAATTTCAGCAAATGGATGTATATGGTTGGGACTATCCCTAACCGTGTTTTGAGGACGTGCCTTCAAACACTTCCGGCGCCCCTCCGTCCCCGTGCCCGGACTGAGGCTGGCGCGGCACCTTGACCGCCAGAACCCAGGCATTTCCTGAAAAGGGGCAAGGGCCAAGCCCAAGAAGGAGCGCGACACGTCACAACATGCCCGCCAAAACTCAAAACTCGAGGGGCGCCTTCCCCATCTTTCCAGGAATCCAGGGAAAACGGTTGCCATTTGAAAAGAACGATGGTTGACAAGAATGGGGAACCAACAACTAGAACACCCCCCATTTGGTTTGGTTTGGTTTGCTTGGACCAAAACATGGGGTGCCAAAACCCTTCTATTTGCACTTGGTGGTTTGGCTTTGTAGTTTGGACGCCAGAACACAATTTGTGCTTGGGAGCTGTGGTAGTGGTAGTAGTAGTGGTAGTAGTAGTAGTAGTAGTAGTAGTAGGAGTAGTAGTAGTAGTAGTAGTAGTAGTAGTAGTGGTAGAGTAGTACTAGTACTAGTAGTAGTCGTGGTAGTAGTAGTAGTAGTAGTAGTAGAAGTACTAGCCTCAAAGTAATGTCTTGGAGAACTGCTGCCGGGGTCGTCCCCCTTTTCAGGTCTTGTAAAACATCAAGCACTCGGCACAAATCCATATAGGACAGGAAAGCAGGAAGCATCTCATTGAGTTCGTTGTTCCGGTGCTTTTGGCACAAAATGAACCTCAGAACCTGGAAGACGGACAACGCCGAGGCAGAACAGGAAATATCCCCTCCCTGTTCTTTTTTGAACATGTTTGCCCCGTCATCGATTTCGAAGATATCCATGAAGGCCAAACGAACGCCCGTAGTTCGAGGTGAAGATCCTTCTGAGAAATCCCACTGCTCGCCAAACACTTCACCAATAACCCTGTCTCCAAGAAGTACTAGAAGTGGTACGACACACAGCCTCCATCAAGGTGGGTCAGGGTCATTCGCGAATCTGGTCAGGACATGACAACGCACGTGCAAACAAAGGTCATGCATCATGTACCTGGTCAGAACCATGACGATGCAAAAACATGACATGACATGACAAGCACAGAGCTAAGCAACACTGCTTGCTCACCAGCGCGGAGGTCGAACCTGGTCAGGACATGAGCAGCATGTGTGACATCCGACTCATTTGAGACTCGTGCCGGGGGGGGCGGGTTTGACGACCTTCCCCGGTGAGGCGGCGGCCTTGGCGGCATCGGCTGTTGCTCCCAGGGCTCCTCGCCTGCGCCTGGCTCCAGGTTGCCGAGCTCTTCCTTGACCTCCTGCGGTTTCCTGATCTCCGCCTTCATCTTGGGCTTTGCGCCCCTCCTCTGCGCCAAACGGCGGAGCTGCCCCTGCCGAGCTTCATCCCGAGCACGCTTCTTCTTCTTGGCCAGGATCTTCTTCCTCAAGATCCGCTTCCTGCGGATCTCTTGCTTCTTCTGCCTTTTGTGGAGCACCGCGTTGGCAGCCTTAGCTGTGACACAACCTTGCCTCCTTGAGAAAGGCCAGCTTTCATCTGACCACCTGCCTGGCACCGCCGGCAAATGACCTGTGACGTCAGAAGGCGCACATGCCCGCACAAGAAACAAACTTGTCATTGTCTAACACGTGAGAAACGGTGGCGTCAACACGCCTGCGTCACGGCGTTCAGGAGCATTCGTTGGCAGACCTGCGCTACTTCCTCCTGCAGGACATGTCCACCATGACAAAGTCAGCACAGCCCCGGCTCCTGATTTGGCGCTGGAGGCCGCGGAGGTGGTGGAGGGCACCAGATCTCTCGACAGACCTTCGAGGCTCCATCTGCTGGATGACCCTCTGGGCCTGCTCGACATCGTCCTTGGTGTGGGCCATTTGGAAAATATAAGGGGTTAGAACCATGATGCGGCCAAGAACCCGGGAACTGTAGTGACCACCAGGCCAATTGGCTGGCCCCGCAAGGGGTGGAAGACCTTTGCGGCTGCCTGGCCTCCTTTGTGGAGGTGGCCGCACGTTTGGCCCCCCGTGTTTGGCCGCAGGTTTGGGCTGCGCAGCTTCGGCCTTTTGTTTTCTGCGGGCAGCTCGGATGCGTGCATTGGACTTCTTGCGGGGTTTGCCCTTGTTTCTTTTGTTCGGCAAAAGCGTGAAAGATCATGCTTGATCATGACGCGCCCAAAACCCCGCGAAGGCCCGTGGCCGGAACGGCAGCAAGAAGTGCGGGATGCGCGCGGCGAACATGCAGCGGGTCTCGCACTTTGATCCCCAGCAGCACGTGTGCGCCAGGTTGAGCCCGACCAACTGGCACGCGTGAGCTGCCGGGTTGCATCCCCCTCTTGTCGGAGAACTATGTGTGTGCGTGTGCATGCGAGTGTGTATGTGTTGTGTGCATGCGTGTGTGTGTGTGTATGTCTGTGTATGGTGTATGGTGTATGGTGTATGGTGTATGCGTGCGCGTGCGCGTGCGCGTGCGCGTGCGCGTGCGCGTGCGCGTGCGCGTGCGCGTGCGCGTGCGCGTGTGCGTGTGCGTGTGCGTGTGCGAGTGCGTGTGCGTGTGCGTGTGGGTGTGGGTGTGGGTGTGGGTGTGGGTGTGTGTGTGTGGGTGTACGTGTGTGTGCGTGTGCGTGTGTGCGTGTGCTGGTGTGGGTGCGTGTGCGCGTGTGCGTGTGCGTGCGTGCGTGCGTGCGTGCGTGCGTGCGTGCGTGCGTGGGTGGGTGGGTGGGTGGGTGGGTGGGTGGGTGGGTGGGTGGGTGGGTGGGTGGGTGGGTGGGTGGGTGTGTGGGTGTGTGGGGGTGTGGGGGTGTGGGGGTGTGGGGGTGTGGGGGTGTGGGTGTGTGGGTGTGTGTGTGTGTTCGTGTTCGTGTTCGTGTTCGTGTTCGTGGTGGTGGTTGTGGTTGTGGTTGTGGTTGTGTTTGTGTTTGTGGTTGTGCTTGTGTTTGTGCTTGTGTTTGTGTTTGATTGTGTTTGTGGTGTGTTTGTGTTTGTGTTTGTGTGTGTGTGTGCGTGGGTGTGTGTGTGTCTCTGTCTGTCAGTCTGTCTGTCTGTCTGTCTGCCTGCCTGCCTGCCTGCCTGCCTGCCTGCCTGTCTGTCTGTCTGTCTGTCTGTCTGTCTGTCTCTGTGTTTGTGCTTGTGTTTGTGTTTGTGTGCTTGTTTGCGCTTGCGTGCGTGCATGTGTGCGTGCGTGCGTGTGTGTGTGTGTGTGTGTTGTGTGTGTGTTGTGTGTGGGTGCTTGGGTGCGTGCGCGCGTGCGCGTGCGCGCGCGTGCGCGCCCGCGCGTGCGTGCCTGGCGAGATTTAGGTGCACAAAACAGACTGCTGGATTTGGAAAACTCCCACATCCCACATGCCACGACCGCCCCAAAAGAGGCACAGGAGCCGGGCACCTGTTCCGCACACCCTCTCCTGGATTGGTGGTGGATCCCGAGAGGCGGTTGCCAGGAGGAACCAAACTGGTCCGCGGCCATGGTTGGAACTTCTTGATTAAGTCCTGAACCTGCTGGCCCAAATGGCTTAGGGAAAGTGTGCGGAGCAGCGTGTGCGTGAGCGGGTGTTCTTACCACTTGGCTGGCATGTCTGCAGTGCTGAGCGAATGCACGTGAGCGGGTGTTCTTACCATTGAACTGGCATGTGTGCAGTGCTAAGCGAATGCACGTGAGCGGGTGTTTTTACAATTGGGCTGGCATATGTGCAGTGCTAAGCAAACGCGCGTGAGAGTGTGTTCTTACCATTTGGCTTTGAAATCTTGGGCTGGCATGTGTGCAGTGCTAAGCGATGCACGTGAGCGGGTGTTCTTACCATTGGGCTGGCATGTGTGCAGTGCTGAGCGAATGCACGTGAGCGGGTGTTCTTACCATTGGGCTGGCATGTGCAATGCTGAGTGAATGCACGTGAGCGGGTGTTCTTACAATTGGGCTGGCATGTGTGCAGGAAAAAAATAAAACAACGCAGGGCATTTTAGATGTTATTGCTGAAGAACGTAAACAACGCAGGGTTTTCGCGTGATTTCTAGCAGAAAAGCATGGTGAAAGGTTCTTCCACTGGGTTCACTGGAGTTACTCTCATGAGAGTTACTTGCAAGGAGCTATCATCCTGACAGTTGTTGCAAGGAATCATCATCATGAGTGTCACTTGCAAGGTGTTTTGAACAAAGAGTTAAGCTTCCACCACCTTGCTTTCGTTGTCTTGCTGGTTCCAATTCAATCTTTGTAGGTTTTCCTATCTTTCATAGGAAACCGCTGTGGTCTTGAATTGCTGATTTTTGTTGATGACAACATGCGCTCCATGGCTTACCTCAGGACCGCTCGCTCGGACAGGGGCGATTCCATGTTCTACAGATGCTTGCAGCAAGGCTGTGGGTATCGGACTTCGGTCTACACCAGGTCGGCGAAGTGTGGGCCGCCAAAAATTGGCTTTTCGACTTGGTGGCGAATGTGTGCGATTTGGATGACACACGTGCGAGACACATCCTAGCCTTCGAAGGGCCGAAGCGCAAGCGGCAAAGCAGTGCCAAGATAAGATTGTCTTGTCAGGAGACTGCGAAGCAGACGCTGCTGGGCTGCGAAGCATGGTCGTGAAATCGACCAACGAGCATTTCCGGCCTGCGATAGCCAAGCACAGCCTACAGCGTAGTCCGCAGGATTACTACAGGGTCTATATTTGCTTGCTTGGAGTTTCCGAACGCAAATCCTCCAGACTGGTGATCGCCCCCTTGGCTGAGAAGGTTGTTTCGATGAAAGCGACGCCTCTCCTGTAAATCTGTGGAAGATTCAGATGAGCAGACTCAGTCACTTGGCCCCTGGATCGGCTGTCCATTCAGACGGTGCCCATAGTTAGCCAACTACTGTGCAGCCTTTGGGACTTCACCATGCCAATGTGCAGCACAACAAGCAACAGGACCGTCTGAGTTGCCTGCGAGGTGCTTGGAACGGCGGTGGGGGTGCGCGCACATAACGAAGAACATGAATGTCAAAAATCATGACTGTGCAGGGCTGTCCTCGGTGAATCATCGTTTGTACACTTATGCTTGGAGTTGTGCTTTGAGGCACAACTTGACGCCTGACGAGAAACTTGATTTGTGGCATAGCTTGGGCAGAGCTTGCGCTGAAGTGCGTGATGAGCCATGATTGTGACAATTCAGATGAAATCTGATATTTGCCTTTTTGGGGGCGCACCAGCGCCGGGAAATGCATTGCGGCGGACTTGCTCAACAAAGGCGATTGAGAGACACTTTTGACGAAGGCGCCTGCAACCATGATACTTTTTTTTTGGTCGGGGGATGTCCACGACTGACTTGGTTTGGTTGTTGTTGTTATTAGCCAGACTCGAAAAGGGGATACGTGATGCGATTCCCAGGCGCTTTCGAATGAGATGAGCATGCGATTGAGAGATACTTTTGACGAAGGCGCTTGCGACCGGAGTGTGCTTTTTGGGGGATGTCCACGACTGTTGACCACCAACTTGTTTCTAAGACTTGGCTTGGTTGTTTGTTGTTACTAACCAGACTCGAAAAGGGGATACGTGATGCGGTTTCCAGGCGTGATAAATGAGATGAGCATGCGAGTGAGAGACACTTTTGACGAAGGCACCTGCAACCGGAGTCTGGGTGTGACACTGTTTTTTTTGGGTTGGGGAATGCCTACGACTGTTGACCACCAACTTGTTTCTATCACTTGGTTTGATGGTTGTTGTTATTAACCAGTCTCGAAAAGAGGATACGTGATGCATGCGATTGAGAGACACTTTTGACGAAGGCGCCTGCAAACGGAGATGATACTCTTTGTTCCCCAAACAGTTTACTGTAGGGATTCTTGATTCTTTTAGGATAGACGGCTTGGTTCCTTCCACTCTGTCTCTCCTTGTCTCCCCGTGTCCCCTTTTATATATTTGCTCTAAACTTTGTCTCCCCTTGTCTCCCTTCATATCTGCTCCAAACTCGTGCTTCAGGGTTCCGTTGGACGGGTTCCTGCCGTCTTGTTTCCCTTTGTCTACCCTTCTCCCTTTATATCTGCTCCAAACTCTGTGCTTCACTGGGTTCCGTTCTCCTTGTACATCTGCTTCTATATCTGCTCCAAACTCTGTTCGGGTTTCTGCCACCCCTTGTCTCCCTTTGTCTGTGTGCTTCAGGCTGGGTTCGGTTGGACGAGTTCCTTCCACTCTGTTTTCTAGTCGTAGTAGCAGTCGTAGTAGTAGTAGTAGTAGTAGTAGTAGTAGTAGTAGTAGTAGCAAAAAGGCTCTAAGCTTCTTGAGTTTAGGCAGCAACTTGAGCATCCTTCATCAGGCGACCCCCTCAGCCATATGGTGGTTCTAAAGGAAACCAGCAATTGTGAGAGAAGTAACAACAAACAACGGTTCCATTCTGAAAACCCAAACAAAGCAACAACCGGATGGGACGGAAGAAGGATTCTGAAGAAACCTTGCGGGCCCTGTGTGGTCTCAAGGCCTATCCGAAAGCCAAGGTTGAATACATGTTTACCAGGCGCAAGTCATAGCTCAGCGGCCTTTGCACAATCGGGCAATCGGATGCCTGAATTCAGCCATATTGCTACAATTCAATGGCCTGACACAAGAAATGGACTTCAAGGATTTACATCTAAGACTTGGATCTAAGATCGGGGTTGCTCGAACCCCAAAAAACTTGCAAGGAATCAAAAGACCTGGGCAACCAAAAAAGCTCAGGCGCCGTTGGCTACGGGCCCTCACCTTTTGAGTATTTCGGTTGTTGGGGCATAGTACATCTGGTGGGGTTGACAAGAAGGGAATTCCAACAGTGTTCATGTTTTTGGTTCGGGGGGGGTCCTTCGCTTCAACACATCCATGTTCGCCAACATCACGAACCCCTGTTGTCCTGATCCGCTTGTAAGGAGAAAGGGAACTAGTAGATGATGTAGCTGCTTGTCTTGTGAGGTCATTCAACCTTCCCGCAACATGATTCCGATTTTGACCTAGAAGCCACGCGGACCTCCGATCCTAGGTCAGCCGCATCATGGGGGATCCTGCATCGCCTCATCTGACATTGGGTCCCAACCTCAACTTGCCAGTCTTCCTCATACATCCGAAATAGCTCCGCCACCTGAAATGATGGAGTCCTGGAAAATGAGCCAGCCCACAGGGTCTTTTGATGGACATCATTCTTTCGGAGATGCCCCCCAACCACGTTCATAGGCATCGGTCGAGGGGGCTGTTGGTCAAGTTGCTAACTGGACTGCTCCACGTTTGCTGTGTGGGCGGAAAAGGGCAGAACGCGCTTTCACGCCGAAGCCAAGTAAGCTCAAGGGGTGTGAGTCTGCATGTTGTGTCCTTCTAGGTACATTAACATGACACTCTCCAAGTAACATGCCTCACAAGTAAGTTTGAGAAACCCTCAAACTCTTCACTTTCGGCCCAAACCCGGGTACTGACCCCCATTATCTCAAAATCTGGTTCATCCATCCTAAAAAAAACAAAAAATGCCAACCCCGCAAGACCTCCGCCTCCGACCCCAGCAGAGCCCGCCTGGAGATGCTATAGCATTGCTTCACATCCCAACGCAGGGCGCCACGTCTGCTGAACTGGAGCAGAAGATTGGACCTCTCCGCGTTCCGCTCGGAGCATCCAATGGCCCCTAAAAGTGCCCAAGCAAAATCACAGAAAATCAACTTAAAGTCTCCCCTAGTTTGGATGTTTGAAAGGCTCTTTCGCAACCCTTTAAAATTTCTTGACGCCCACTGTGCGAAGAAAACTGCGACTCTGATGATTTTTTGATCCGGATCCATGCCTGTCCAACACAGCCTGACCCCAACAAACACATATGGGCAGAAAACCAGTCGTTTTGCCCCGGTTCCCCCTGCCAGCCAGCCAACCTCGAAAGGGTACCCACAAAAAGCTCAAACACCTTGTCCGGGGTGTTTTTTGAGGGTAGCCTTTGTGAGTTGCTAACCTCGGATTACTCTCGCCATGGTATTTAACAGGGCCCGCATAACTCCGCCCCAGCACTAAAGACTTTGAAAAAACTGGAGTTCATGAACAGAATTGCTTTTCCACAGAAACACTTGTTATCAAACAGGGCCCCACAGAAACCTCAAAATTACACCCCCCCCCCCCGAAAGATTAAGTTCAATTCCACCCTGGTGATGCAGCTTCTCAGCTGCTGCCTTTCTGTCCATGATCATACTAGTGTACGCTGTCTTTTGATCAATTTGTGTTCCATGTTAGTCAATTCCCACAATTCTAAGCCAAATGGATATTCAAATCAACATCCCAAAGTGAGGCTGCAGCGATAATTAAATCAAAGGCGAAGCTCCTTTTGGAATCTTTCTGGAGTTCCTAAATGCCCACTACTAAAGTAGTACTGCCCCCAAAAAAGTAGCATTGCTCAATACTAATACAATATTGCACAACTCAGCTTTGAAAAACTTTGCCTCGGCCACAAGGGCCGGGAAGTGGTCAGACCCCTCTTCAGATGTAGGTCCGCTCACAACCCATGTCGCTCACGCTCCAGCTACATAGCCCCAGCCCCTTGCCCGCAGACTCCGTTCATTTGGCCTCTTTCCTCGCTTTCAAACTTCGCGAGAAATTCGTAGCTTGCATCGGAGCATGCTGCAAGATTGGCTTGCGCGCGCGCCCTGCGCCGGCAGGATGTTGGAAACATTCACAGTACGACTCGGAGCATGATTGAGTTCTTTCTGCGTTGTAGCTCTGGCCTCAGGGACGAGCACGTGCGCAAGCTTTGGACTACAGCTGTGGCTCGCAGCTCCCCGCGCTACCGTGAAGCCAGTCTCTACCTCAGTTCTTGAGGCTTCACCTAGCCCCAGCCCCTTGGACTATCTCTTGAGCTGTGGCCGCGCTTCGCCGTTGAGCCACGCGGCTGCGTTGGTGTCCCTAACTTCACCTACAGGTTTCAGGCTGACCGGCCACTCCCACGTGGCTTGCCTTTTACGTGGGGCACGACCCTAGGTCCTGAACCTCCCTTGCGCCCAGACTTGACCCGGTCCTCAGTTCTTGGTGCTTCAACAAGCCGATTTGTTTTTGCATTGGATTGCGGCTCTAGCTCAGTCAATAACAATGAAATAGAAGAATACAGACAAACACTACAAAATATCAGAGTAAATGATATTGCGTGGTTGACAAGAGGATGTGATCTCCGACATTCCAGAATTAATAAATAGTTTGAAGTGATGTAGAAAGAGATTCTGGCTCACTGTCCTTCTTTATAACTCGTCTATTTGCTGTGAAGACTGAGATTATGTTGTCCACCTGCATAAAGAAACGACTGGTGAAGGAATGAGGTGCTGTTGGACAATAATTCACTTGTATATCTTTATGGCTCTTTCCTTTCTCACGTATACATTTACTTGGAATTATCGGGTAGTTTGTTTTTTGTTTAGAGTGAGAGCATGGACTGGGAATGAAGGGTCTTCCATGGTCAGCATGCAAGAAATTATATTTGTCCAAGCTTTCATTTTGTTTACATCATTTTGATGGTCCGACGCCTCTCCCCCGGTTTTGCAGTGTTGCAGTTGGAGGTCTACAGGCTCCCACGGGCTGTTCAAAAATGGAGTGGCCAACGCAAATCCAGAATCTTTATTGGAAAACAATTTCGTAACCCAAGGATAAAGATTGAGGATTACATCTGGGTTTGTCTCTAGAGCACACCCCCAACATGCTTGGTGTCCTGCTGGCATGCCTTTAAAACCAAAAGGGCTACCCTCAAAACAATCAGACCCAAACTTGAGCCCAGCATGAAGGGTATACTTCCCCTTTAAACATCCCAAACCAAAGGATACGTTTCTTTTTTGAAAGGCCCCGAACTCTTCCCTGAGAAAGGCTCCAAGGAACCAAAGGACCCCCTTTTCATTCTCAAAAGAAGTTGTCAGGTACGAAGGGACCCGAGAAATATATGCATGGGCTACCTTCCAAAACCAGCGGTTTCCCAATGGTTTCCATGTGTTTCCATTTCAAGCGGGGGCTTCCTCAAATGAAGACGAGCCCTTTTGGGATTTCCGATTTCCTAGGCGGCAATCCGGTAATCCACCCGGGTTTTGAGGACGTGGCTGAAATTTGGAAACCAAAAGCTGGCTATGAATGCTTCTCATATTGCTATAACCCCATGCAACCAGATAGTAAACTCATATTGACACGGTCAATAAGCCTTCAGTTTCAACCAATCCGAAGCAAACACGTCGTAAATTGCCGCCCCCCCCCCCCACCCCCCATTCGCCATTCGGTGCCAAGCTGCAACTCCTCCGGTTTACATGTACCCACGCATAACCTCGATCGACGCGCGAGCGGCAAACCGAAAACCGAACGCCGGGGAGTTGTTGTTGCTCCCTGAAAAACACATTTACACAGAAAAGACAGCTTGGTCTGACTCTGCCAATCATATGTTTCAGCCTGCCCGAAAATATAACATGATCTTGAAAGAGACCTGAGTAAGCCCTGGGCAGTTCAGTTTGTGTAGCGTTTGTGTTGCTCTGTGGTTCCCTGGTGTAGCCCCTTGTGTGATTGTTTGGTTCTACTCTGTAGCCCTTTCTACTCCCATGAAGAACTGGGCCCAACGCACCGCTTCAAGTGCGCATGACCAATCGCAAAGGTCGAACTCATCACAAGGCAAGGTCAATCCGCGGCACGATTTATGACTTGCCCTCGGCACCCAAAGTCATGCCATGGCTGCGCTTCTTTCTACCGAGTTGAGGTGGCCTCTGCAAGAACAGTCTAGCTAGATTGAGCTCCTGAGCTCTAAGACACGCCAACAAGACCTTGTGAACGCTGGAGTGGGTCTACCTAAAAGATAGAAATTAACTGCAAGTGCGACCACTGCTCTTTGGGAATGCCCTCTTGGACCTTGATTTAGGCACATGGTGTTCTGGCACCATGCTTGGGAAACATGAGGCGGGAATGTGGGGCGCAATAAAGCAGCTCTGTCAGCCAAGTAGAAAAGCCCCATCCCTGCCAATTGTTCTTCTATTTTACTGGGGTTGAGTACCATAACGAAAACCAGCTGGTCCCCAAGATTTCCTAAAAGGAGATTGCTTAAGCAATATTGCGAGGGCCTAAATACCGAGAATGAGGTTATGGCGTGCGACTATGTATCATTATTCCGCACCTTTTCATTTAGTGGTTTAACCATGGCTTTCTGTGATACCAACTATGAGTACTTTGTCACTTCAATGGGGTTCCCTTTAAGTATCTCAGAGCATGTGCCGAAAAGCACTAACAAAAAACGTTTCCCGCAAGCATTCCCCAAAACCAATTTGGTGTTCTTGTGGGTACTCTTTCTGGATGGCTTGAAATGAACACTAAATCTTACAAGGAAACCACCCCCGGCACCCCCCAAACACTGTTTTTTTGGACTTGGATATTTTTTTGGTAATGGTTGAAAAAGCAGTTGTGGGTGCTGGCCGGTTTGGGGGTTCCCCAATTTGACGCAAGCGCGCCACTTTCTCCGAGCTGCAGCCACACCTTTGAGCAGGCAGCAGGATTGTCCGCCAAGTTGGCACAAGGTCGAGGCGCAACAAGCACCTAGACCGGATCCCGGATCCGGACCGGGGGAAATGGTGGGCTGCTGGTTCTTTTTCCCGCACTGGATGTCCAAACCAATGAAATTGGTTTGTTGGTCCGTGCTTCATGAAACTGGGGGTGAACGAAATGGGTCGGTCTTTTCTTCAAGGTCCCAACCAAAATGGCGCAACGGAGTTCCTTTGGTTTCCCTGTAAAACCAACCCCAAAATGGGTACCCCCCCCCCAAAAAGACGGACGCAAAAAAATGATTCTCAAACCGAATCGGAATCCCCAAAACATTCATGGCTTGAACATGCTGACTACCAGCTGAAAAGAAATGAGCAGTCTTTTGGGCCAGGTGTGGCTTGAGCACAAACATATTCACTAGGTCCTCCAGTAGAGAGGCTAGAATAAGCTGGTACCAACCTTGTTCTGCCTATTTTAGTAGGGTTCGGAACCCTCCCAGCCCAAAAAGTTGGTGAGAAAGGGCACCTAGCTGGGGGACCCAGAAAAGGATTCGCGTGGCGCCACGGAAGTGGGTCCTTACCATTTCAAGATGCCTCGGTCTCCGATGGTTTCCCGTTGGACCAGTTGGAAGCACCCGCTGCGATGAAACATGGCCAGCGTTTCGTGCACATAGCACACGGGACTAGAACTCAAATGGGTCAATCGCAAGCCGTTGAAGTCCTCCGCATAGAATACCGCAATCGGGAAAAATGGACCCCTAGGAAAGACACCTTCATGAGTGATGTCACAAACTTCAAGTGACGTCGTAATCATCTGCCCGAATATATTACAGAACCCTGTCGCCCAAGAAAGGACGTGCTTTTCAAAACGCCCTTGGACATAAAGAAGGGCGTGTTGAATCCCAATGCGACGACCGCCGGTTATAAAACAAAAAATGAAATGTTGCAAATGAAAAAAACACATCGGGCCTTAAGGGAGGCGAAATGAAAGGGAGCAATTGCAGCAATCACCCCTCCGGCACGGAGCTGGGAACTTGGCACTCAGCTAAACCCTATGCTTGTAGCAAACCTGGCTTCATGTTCAAACTGCAAACAAGAGATCCCCAACAGCATTTACCCGAACTGCTAACATGGAACCAAAATGGTCTTCCAGGACCTCCCAGGCAGTGGACAGGAGGGTATCATTCAGTTCTGTTCCCCCCGATTGCTGCGACAAAGGCGCCACATGACTCGCAGACTCTTTCGAAGAAAATGCGTATCTCTTCCTCGCGGCCGGATTTCCGGGAACTGCGGGAAGCCGTGCTCCAAAAGATGTTCTGTGAGAATATGCGCTATTCAATCAAAGGGACATCCGTGTGTGTCGTAAAATCATTTCTGTTGTGGGTAGAACAGTGTGGCTTCCTACACTTCCCCCTACATTCCCAAGAGAAAACGCATCTAACAAGTAGACCAAAAGGCGTTGACACGGGCAAAGGGCAATTCAGGGACCCTTGAAATAGGGCGGGACCCCCAAAAAGGCTTCTTTCTGGGTGTCCCTTTTGACAAAGCTGAAAAGGGTACCTCCCCTAACCTGAAACTTTGTTCGCCAGGCTTCGTCAGGGTCAACAAGTATTCATTGGTGGTAATCAAAAGCCTTAAAAATGGAGGTGGCAATATTTCCCAGGATGTACAGAGCTGCAAATAGAAGCGGCTGCCCATGTACGCCCTTATTGTACCCCAAAAGGAACCCTGGTAAATGGAACCAAAGACTAAAACCAGCGGTCCGCTGGTGGTTTTATTTTTGACCCATACCCATTTGGCTTTGGGTCGACCCGTTTGTCACCGCACTGGTTGTAGTGAGTAGCAATCAGTTGGCATACCCAACGCATGGGTACAGTTGGCACACACTGAAAGACTTCCCAGGGAACAGTTGCGATGATGTGCCGAGTGATTGTTATTCACTACATGGCCATGGGTCAAAAGCCAAATCGTACTCCCAGTAAACATCCCAATCCCACTAAAATAGGTTCTAAAATGGGTGGTGAGTTCCCCAATCTCAACCAACATGGGATCCCAAAATGGTCTTGACCACCACAGCCACATGGAACCTGCCAGCAGATTTCAGTGAGCCACTTTCTCTACCAGCCACGCATGGCAGCCCAAAGCGCTGGGGCAAATGTTCCATGCCCATCCTCTTGGTTGCAAGGTGGGCTTCGATTGGCTTAAGGCCCCTGGAAAAAAACAAAAAAAACAAAAACATATACTCAGTACTAGAGTCCCTTTGAAACCAACAGGGGAAAACAAAAAAAACAAATATTATTCATTTCAGCAAATGAAAGTGGGGTCCAAGTTGAACAGATTCGAGCTCATTCCGCTGTCCTTTTCGAGGCTCGAGCCCCGTGTTTGGGTGGGGATAAGGGCAAAGACTGTCTCCAAGACCAGCTCCCTTGAAGACCACCAGCTCCCTTGAAGCCAGAAAGAACACCGGAACAAACAGGAACCTCCATTGGCTGAAGTCCCCTGGAAAAAACATAAACATATGTCCAGTAGTGATAGATTCCCTTTTAAACCAACAGTGGAAAAACACACAAACAAAAAACATATTCTTCACCAAATGGAAGGGAAAGGACACCCCACGCCGCCCATTTTTGAGGCCTAAAGTGGCTCTGGGTCAAAAATGGTACCCAAAATGGCACCCTGGTAAATGGAAACAATGACTAAAGCCTGTGGTCCCCTGGTGGTTTAATTTTGACCCATACCCAAGTGAGGCTTTTGCGAATCCAAGGAATGGCACCGGCGTCCTGACCGGCTCGTACATCACGTCCGCAAGGAGCAGCGGGATCAACGGCGTGGCTTTGCCATCGACCGTGAAATTGATATGAGATTCCTCAGGGTCCCGCAGTCGACAGGGGACGCGGGATCTCCCCTAAGTTATGAAGACCTGTCCCCGCCTTCGACAGGGGACACGGAATTTCCCCTAACTTAGAAAAACCTATACCCCTACGCCCTCCCCCCCTCCTCAGCGCGGCTTTGGCAGTCGACAGGGCCACAGGGGACACGGGAAACCTCCATTCCCCTGGCAAAAAAAAAACAGTAGTGAAATCGATTCCCTTTAAAACCAAGAGGGGAAAATAAAACATATTCTTATCCAAATGGAAGGGGATCCCCCCGAAGGTATGAAGACCTGTCCCCTGCCCTACGCCCTGTCCCGCTTAAGGCAGATAGGTCCTGTCCCTATTGTGCCTAGGAAAATAATTGGAGATTTGAGCTGACAAAAACCTTGTTGAGTCCCCCCTCTTCGAGCCTAGGGGACTCATAAGAGATTCGAACTGCCCTTTCTGAAAGAGATTCGTCGCCCCAAGCTTCCCCCAAGCTTTTAGGGCCTCTCTAAACCTAAGGCTTCCCCAAGCTTGTCAGCTTCCCTACGCTTCCTTCAGGCTGCCCCAAGGCTTCCTTAAGCCTTTCCCACCGAATTCTTGCAGATTTTCACCGGGTTCCCCAAGAGCCTGCGAGAAACAGGCGACGCTTCCCCAAGTTGTGCGCAAGACTTCCTAAGGCTCCCCTGCTAGTGAAGCCCTTGATATAGTGTCCATGGAAACTGCCCCCAAAAGGGGAATTGGTGAGTCTTGCTAGGCACTAGCAAAAGCAGCTCATCCTTGCAAGAGGTCCCACTTATGAACGCAGCAGAAAAAACCAGCACTTGCACCGCACTGACGTTTTATAGCATGCCGAAATTATGGTTTGAGCAATTTGCTTGGTTTGGACATCAATCGCCTTCGTCTCCGGCAGCCGGAAAGAGATTTTTTTGCGTAAATTCAGCGACTCTGCACTCAAACACGCTGTCCCCAAACTCTCCCGCACTGAATCTTACCCCTTAAGACTCCAAGTTTTGGGGAAGTTCATCTTTTACAAACATATAGCCCATGTTACCCAACAAGTTGAGAGAAAAGTTGTATCTTTTTTAGAGGTAAGGAATCTCTTGCTCTCCAAGGGGCATCGAGCGAAACCGCCTCTCCTTCTGGGTACCTTTCGGGCGTCCGAGGCCCACGAGGCAGTGGCCGTCTGACTGGAACCCCCGATGGTGACAAGAACTCCCCCCCCATTCATTCGTATCTCGGTTGACCTTGGAAGGGGAGCAAAAACTGAAAAAACAAATAGCAGTTGAGTGGATTTGGAGTTCAACAACTAAACCACAACAAGCAAAAATACGTATAATGTTTCCCAACAACAACCATGATATGGGGGGGGTGCTCCCCTAGGTTTCTACTTGCTAACCAAATTGTGACGTCTGACTCGGTCAACGTTCAACCCGAGAGACTTAGGGCGTACATATGTTCGTTCTTCATCATTTTAGTGGAAGGCCAAGATATACCCTCCCCCAGACTAACATGGAAGCTCCCAGGACCCCTTTGGAAGACTTGGTTCCATTTACAGAGGCCTTCTGGGAGCTTCCATGTTAGCCCAATACAGTTTCTGTGGCTGAGGTTCATTCAAACCCAAGAAGGGTCTTCCAAAGATATTATGTCCAGTTGCACTTGTCCTTTCCGCGGCCGATCCTTGTGCAAAACCAACGCTGGGTGTCGTTTTTTTCTGAGTGCACCCTCGTTCGGAAACACAGGCAACGATCGATGACTGGATAGCTGAATCTCCCTGAACAAGTGCGGGACCTCGTATCATCTCATGGTGTGAAATTGAATTCGGGACCTGTTGGTGGACATCATTTGGATGAGGATTTCTCTCCAACAACTTCGCAGGTGTTTCCCTATCAAAACAGATAGTCATATCATCCCCAAAAGTTAGAGTCGTAAGATCCAACCAAAGAGCAGCCACGATGTCAAGAAGAGAGCAGAAGAGATTGAACAGATTGAAGACATGGGTTTTCTCAGCAAGACTAGGCCAGTAGGCCTATTCCACGAAACAACGCATACACCAATGGCTTGTTCAGGTGCCGAGGCCAAGCATCCCACATATGTTGTGTTGTCTTCTGTACAGTAGATCAGGATTCCCGAACCAAAACATGATGATCATCATCCATGTGTAAACGTATTAGACTTAGCGACAGGCCAGCTTTTTCAACACACGGGGCAGCGTTTCATATCATGTTATTGGCTAACCATTTGGACATCTTCACTGTGTCCAGGGCAAAACAACTGCAGGGGAAAGACACCGGACTAGTGGCATTGTTTCGAGCACCGCATATCTAACTTAACACGTGTTGAGATTCGTCAAATTGGAAAATCAAGCATCCATGACAATTATCAAGTGCTACTGGAAAAAAACACATAACTTTCTGCCATATGTCTGTAGATCATACAGTGCATCATGCATGGTTATTATGGTGTACTTTAACTGCAACAAATGATCAAATCTTTAGACAAACCAACAATACAGCTCGGAATCTGATACCATTCTGCCAGCTAAAACAGGTATATAGACAGTAAACATTGGAACCGCACCGCGACACCCAATCAGTCAACCATCAGAATAGGGCAACCTCAGTTGCACTCAAACAAGATGCAATATCCCGAGCGAGTTAATCTGTAAGATATTGAAAGCATTTGGTACACGTCCAATGCATCCTTGAGTTTCTTGGTATTGGTGGGGTGCCGGGTGCATACCCCAAACCTCGACGATGGTTTAGTTGTTAGAATGATTTTTGACTAGGTCCTCCAGTAGAGCAAGGGTACCCTTTTTTCTGTAGTCTATTTTAGCAGGGGGAGCCCTTCCCCAACAAAGGGGTGAGAGAGGCCACCACTGGGGACCTAGCTGACAACGTCTGGTCACAAGGCAACCCCCCCTAGGATCCGTTGCCAAGCATTTGTTTCTGCATGGCAGATGCGAACCAGAAACACAAAACTTTCCAAACCAGACCTAACAAATAAACCAACTCACCCACAAAGCCGACCTGACCTAGTCCAAAAAAAAAACAGCTCAACTACCCAACCAGTCTCAACAAGCTCCCCAAGATTCACTAAGCGCAACCTCCACGTCTCCCTTCCAAGAGAAACCAGCGCCTCATCAAGGACCGGCTCCCGGCTTCTGCCGCCAGCTCCTCACAAAACCCATGGGAAACCAAAAACCGACTGGGCAAAACAGGGAACCCCTTGACACAACACAAATAAGGAACCGGATGGCCAGGAACCACCAAGAAAAGAATGTCCAATGTGTCGCCCAATCCTCCTCAATTTCTGGGTCATGGCCACTTCCCTTAACTCACTTAGTCCCAAACAGAAACAAAAGCTTAACCTTGTGGAATTTTGACCAAACAAATGGACCAACATTGGAAAACCAACAGGATAAAAGGTCGGCTTTGGGCAACTGAACAAAACAACAATCTTGTCTTTGGCCCGATTGACATCTCTTCAGTGTCACATCCATTTTGTTATACACCAACTTGTCTTTAGCCCACATAAAACTTCTTCAGTCCATGTGTTTTTTGACACCAACTTTTGTTTAGCCCCAAAAGTGCTTCTTCAGTGTGGCGCTATGTCTTGCTCATATACACCAACTTGCGTTGGGCTCGTGTGACACTCATATGTGTGTGTGTGTGTTCTACACCAACTTGTCATTGGTCGGCTTGAACCGATTCAGTGTGACACCCAAATCTTGGACAACAACTTGCCAAATTGTCCTTGGCCCGATCGAAAATAGACACCCGCCGCAGTGTGTCACCCATACGTAGCTTTTACACCAACTCGCCTTTAACTTCAGTGTCACACCCATGATTGTTTACACCAACTTGTCTTTAGCCAAAATCCGATTCTTCATTGCGACACATGTTTTGTTTTTTTGTTTTTTTGGACCTGCTTTAATATGATCCCCCCCCCCTGAACAATGGAACCAGTCAGCGGGACCTGTTTAGGCAAACCCGGGGGGTCTGGGTGGGACTTTCAAATTGATTTAATATTGGTAGACTTGAGTGTCCATTTGATTTAGTATTGCTGGAGCTTCCTTTTGAGATTTTGGAACTGAGTTTCCATTTGATTTAGTATTGCTGGAGCTTCCTTTTGAGATTTGGAACTGAGTTTCAAATTGATTTAGTATTGGTAGAGCTTCCTTTTGAGATTTGCTCCCAAAACCAGTTGAACACTAAAGAGGACCCCAAAACAATCACACTAAAGAGGATCAGGGTTGGTTGTGGGCAACCCCCTTTGTGTGATTGATTCACCTTGCTTTTTTGTAAAGAAGTCATCATAAATTTGATGGTTTGGGCACAACTTGCAAAATGGATTTCCTAGACCTCAGGCCTTTTACCTTTGGGCTGGGGAGAGCTTAGGATGAGCCACCCTTAAAAGTAGAAGGCTCAGGCTTTGGTTTGGGAATTTCAGGAACCCCCCAAAACCAGTTGAACACTAAAGAGGATCCCAAAGCAATCGCACTAGAGAGGATCAGGGTTGGTTGTGGGCAAACCCCTTTGTGTGATTAATTCACCTTGCTTTTTTGTAAAAAAGTTATCATAAATTTGATGGTTTGGGCACAACTTGCAAAATGGATTTCCTAGACCTCAGGCTAGCTCAGAACCAGCCTCCAGCTCAACATCAGCTAAGGCTTAGTCTAGCTTGAGCCCGACCTGAGCCTGCCCAGACCAGAGAGTTGAAAACAAACAAGCCTGTACTTTTTTGGGATTTTTGGGGAGGGGAAAACACTTGCAACAATAGCGGACCCCGGACCCCTAAAACAGTCTCAGGATCCTGAATTGCATTTTTTTCAATAGCGGTGACTTTCATTAAAGCGGGTGTAACATTACAACAACTTTCTCTTTGGCTTCGTGTGACACCCATATCTTCTTCCACCCCAACTTGTCTTTGGACGACGTAACGCCGCTTCTTGAGCGTGTCGGAAACCAGCAAAAAACATCAAACGACAAGAACAAACACACACACACACACACAAAAAAAACAAAAAACACGCGTAGGTCGCCGGTCTGGGCATTTCGAGCCGCGGTGCCCGCGAGATGTCGGATCGAGGTTCGCTCCTGGCCAAGGACTGCTTTCTGCAGCAAGGCCTCGAGGCCCGCCTTGCGTTTCCGCTCATCGATGAGGCTGTTCTCTCCTGAGGCAAACTGCTTGAACAACTAGCCCCTGTGAAAAAAAGGGAAACAATGGCTGAGTAAGCCAAACGCTGTGAAATGTGTTTAACACTGGGCTTTCGGCAAGTTTTTTATTTTTCCAACAAAAGTGGCTGTTTGAAACGGGCAGCGAAAGGAACAGCACCAGCTTTGGTGTCACTACAATTAAGTTGGCATTCTTGATAAGAATCTCCAGCCCCAACTACTGACTCACTTCCCGAGTGAAATAGCTAACAAAAGTCCAAACCGTTTTATGATTTGCAGCTAAAATGAACTCCACATCTGGAGGGGATCAGGAACACAGAAAGCACAGGGGCCCCATTTCTGCGATCCGCCCAAGCCCAATGAATCCAAGCAATACCACTGTACTCTCCATCCAAGGACCGCTTAAGTAGTTTCCTGGCCGTCCATCGATTGCAAACTAATGAACAATGGCATCACAGAAAAACCGCTCTGGGTGTTGAACAGGGGGTCAATGTTTTTTTCAACCATCCCCTTGCGGTGCTCTTTGGGGGAAACAGAGTAAGTGTTGGGCTGTTCAGCATCCCGTGGAATTCGCAGGGGTAAGGGAGGAGAAGGAAAGAGCAAGGATTCAGCCCCCAGCCACGTTCAAAGTAGATGTAAGGAGATCTACGGAATTCTCACTTGGAATTTCGGCCAAGTTAGTAAGTGCTTGGCCTCTTGGGTTTGCTTCACTTCCTAACAAGGTTAACCTCACTTAGTGACTCAAACTAGGTCCTCCAGTACCCTCCCAACCCAAAAAGGGGTGAGAGGTCGGGCGCCAATTGCTGGGGGACCTAGATACCCTTCCAGGCGCGTGAACTCCATTTTGGGTACTTATTTTTGACCCACGCCCATGCTTACCCTTAAAACTCCAAGCCCTGATAAAGTTAATCTTTTACATACATATAGCCCATGTTACCCCCAAAAAGTTGAGAAAAGTTGTATCTTTTTAAGAGGTAAGCCATGTGCCAAAAGAAAAAGGGCTTTTTCATCTTGCAGAAAAACCGAACCTGCTTGACTCGAAGTGCGAAGCAGTCCTTGCAGCGCCGAAGGCACCGCCCGGCCCTCGGCAGAAGGCTTCAAGGGGGAAGCCGAAACTTGGCTGTGGTCACAAAAAGGGTAACCCCAAAAGGGGTTGCCCGATCGGTAAATGGAAACATGGATATTCAAACCTGCGGTCCATATCCTGGTGGTTTAATTTTGACCCACAGATGAGCCGCGTGCTTTTTTCAGTTGTGTGGGGCCTGTACACTGGAAGCACACGTGGCTTTCTTTCCCCCTAGGAATTCGGCTAAGCGGGGCGCGCAACATAGATTTTGATAGGCGGCCACGCGTGGGGGGCTGCGGGGCTGTGCGAAGGTGCGTTGGCAAACGGAAGTAGTGGCAGCAGCAACAACAGCAGCAACAGCAGCAGTAGTCTAGATCCTCCAGATTTGAGAGGTTGGAATAAGTTGGTACCCGATTTTTCTGTAGTCTATTTTAGTAGGGGACCCCTCCTCCCAAAAAAGAGTAAAAGGGCACTACTGGGGGACCTAGTAGTGGTGTCTAAGCGGAGGCTACGCGAGCCGCGGTCCAAGGTCTGGGCGAAGTTCCCCTCTGCTTTTGGCTGCTTCCACAGGGATCCTTGCATTATACACCTGAACATTGCCAAGAACCATGTTTCAAATGGTTGCAACATGTATCTGTTAAGGAGCCCTGTTCCATGATTAGAGTTCGGTCCAGTTATAGAATGTAGCTTCACTTTGAGTCGCTGGTAAAAAGTACAATGTAATTATCCTAAGTCCACCCCAGCTTCAATTGCAAAAACAACAAATCAAAAGCGCGACTCGAATGGCCGCCGGGGACCGGCAATGGGCGGGTTGTATTGGGCTTCTACTTACCCAAGATCCCAAAGGAGCAATACAGTATGAGCACACCATAAGATGCAGCGCTTTACTTTACAGCTGCGGTTGCTAGACTTCTCGGTTTGCTCCATGTCCCACTCAAAGAGCTACTTGCTCGCCCATGAATTCCCATGCCACAAGTGGATGATTGAAGATGTTAGAGGCCAGAAGGCGGCCAACCAGGCAACCGGCCAGTCAACCAACAAGGCAACCAATGAAAACACAAACTGATACCCCCATGTTCCTAACCATGAACCCCTTTGTCCTCGGAATCTGCTCTGATATTTTCAGTCGCCAAACATCGTCAAACATATGTTGGTGTTTGCAGGGTTGGGCAAACCCTGTTTGAAGATGGTCAAACAGCGTTTGTTTAAACAACGACCCGTTTTGGTTCCTTTCGTGGGCCACGTTTTCCGGTTGAAACAAGTCTTTGCTGATCACGAGCATTGACGGCCTCGTTCGCTGTCCGGGCAGAACAAGTAAACAATTACATCTGGCAGTTAACGCATTCCTGACAGAAATGCATGTCGATTTCTTCCCCATCTGTTGGGGTTGCGTCAGGGGGAACTGAAGTGAATCTACCCATTTGGGATCAACTGGCTGGCCTTGTCAAACAACACCCGAAATCTATGATACCAAACATGTCCTAAATATTCTTAGTAAACTAACCACACTCAACCCCAAAACCATGGTACACTTTTGCCACTTTGAACTCGGTTGCACCTTTGGATCCTGCACCTCGACAAAAAAGAAGCGGTCTGTCGAGGGAAACCACCCATGGGTCTGCTCGAATTCGTCTCGGTTGCTATCTGCTCCCCTGCTAAAAGTTTAACTTTCAGTGGTTTAATGGAAAACCCATTAGTTGGCCAAATGTTCAAGTCTTAACATCCTTGGGCAAAATGCACCAAAGTGAAGGGGATACGATTTGCCCCCAAGCATGTGGGTGAATTATAATATTTCACCCACCTGAAACAAGCTGGTTGGGGGGCTATTCCCTACATAAGCCACCATTTGGGGTGAATTCGGTCGTGTGGGGTCGTTATAATTCACCCTGAAGGGTTTCTTTGTGCTACTAATTACTTGCAATCTCTATACTGTATATCCACTGCATGGGGTATTCCCATTCACCACTTTTATCACTTTGAAGGGGTTTGTCCCCAACCATGCTTGCAGTCTTCTCGCGCCCTCTCTCCGGGCGCCCGGCAGATTGAAAGTGAACTTGATGAAGCCACACGCCATACGCGCTAGTCGAAACAGACCGGGCGCGCATGGCGATAGGCTACACAGTTCTAAAGTCGGGGAAGCTTACTGGCTGTCTCAGGTTGGTCCAACCCACCTTTGAGTTGGGCAAGTTCTCGACTTGGCAACCCAAAATGCTCTGCCGTCGGGGTTCTCAGCTTGGCGAGCCATCTCGGGACTCCCATGAATGCCCAATCCGAGCTACTACGCTGCGGGACGGTGGCAAGAAAATATCCGAAGCCCAGCTGCGGAAAAACACGGGCACCCCTCGTCTTGCTGGTGCTCAACAAGGAATGAGTACTGGAATGACCCCGAGACAAAACATCTTCCATGGTTTCCTAGGTTCATTCCCAACACCCGGAACGGCCATTCCCTACTTATCGCACCAGCAAGTTCTTTGATTTTGCGGGGCACTGGGTGTCTGGGTCAGGCTTGGCCTCAAAAGCGCTGCCCCAGAACTCCCCCTGGGTTTAGTGGGGAATCATCACTTTTGGAGGGGAACACCCCTATTCATAACCGAAATTGGGGTTGATGAACATGGGGTCAACATGAATACCAATGTAAGCTTCTTCCCAACCAATTGTTCACAAAACAATGTTTATTTCGGCGTCACAGAAGTGGGATCAACACTTGGTTGCTGTTGACCCCTCTGCAAAAAGTTTAACTGTTTGTGGGTCGAATGGACAATCCGCTGTTTCCCAAAAAGTGAAAGCCGTGAAAGTCCGAAGATCCCTTACCAAACTGTACCCAAAGTCGCGATGGTGTACATGGCTAGCACTTTTCGCTGGAGCCTGCCTCTCCCGGTGGATATATCAAAGGGAAGTCCAACAGAAAATTGGCCCATCACGTCACTTGGAGAGATCCAATCACATTCTAAGACGCTTTCGTAAGGAAAGGAGCGGCCCTTTACATGATGCGCCTATCCAGTTGGGGCCAAGCAGTTGGGAGTCAAACCTCTCCGGAGTCACAATCGAAACCTGGTACAAAATTGGAGAACCCAGAACCAGGAAAGAATTAGAAAGGCGGCCGCAACTATTTCCGGCTGGGACTGCCCCTTACTAACCTTCGTCTACCCGGGTCTTGAGCACGTGGCTCTCCTGAAGCTTTGTTGAACAAAGCGCCGTTGATCCCCTGTCAATGACGCGGCAGCTCTTGAAACCTATTTTCCACCGCCATTGATGCTACGATGGGTTCCGCTACCCCTCCAAACCACGACCAAACACTCGGGGGTTTGATCAGATATACAAGCGCTAGCCAATCCATAGCCACTAGCCAATATATTTCCGGGTAGTGCTGAGGTAGCGGAATTCACCATCGGACAGGGGTAACCTCTGAGCAAGAGTTCAATATAGGTAAGCCTGCCTTGAGAGACCCTCTTTCTTTCTAAATTGGGGGGGGGAGGGGACATTGAGTTCAAGACAGTCCCATACTCACCCTCATCTACCTTCGAGAAAACGACATCGACTATGGCTCCTGGCTCATGCTCATTTTCAGAGAACAACTCCGTCTACCCCCTTCAAGCGACTGAAGCTTCATTAACATTTGAGTCATAATTAAATCAAAGATCGGCATTAAAATGGGCGCAACCCAGAAACATGTAAAGAATTCAAAAGGCGGCGAAGGCACCCTTTTCAATTTTATGGTTGGGACTATCTCCTACTAGCCTTCATCTACATGGGTTTTGCTTGTGGTTCAATTGGTTCTACCAACATTCCAGCGGTTAGATAGGCCTCGACACCAGGCGGAAACGGAGCCGCGTGCGCGACTTCACATCCTCAAAAACCCGGGTCTAACCGCGGAGCCCGCGCCCTCCCCAGCGCATTTCTGGGTCCCCGAAAGCTGGAAGCCCGCTTCGGGAGCCCCCCGAAACCTCGTCGGACCCGAAACCCCGAGACCCCGAGACCCCGAGACCCGGATCCTGGTGCAGCAGCGGCAAGGCGCACTCCTTGGGCTTCTTCCCGTTCACCAAGATGCGGCCCACGGAGGCCGAGGCGCTCGGCCGCGTCGGCGCCTGGGATGGAATTTTGGACATTTGGGACGTTCGCGACGGATTCTTGTGAACGTGGTTTAAGCTGTTTTTGTTGTTTTGTTGGTTTTTTCCCCTGGTTGGTTTTTTTTTTGGGGGGGGGAGAGGCAAGTGGTTAAAGGTATTTTTCTGTTTTTGTTGAAAGATGTGCTTCGCTGTTGGCCTTGTTTTTTTGTTTGGCCGATTTGGAGGGGACATGTTGAGACACATCCTCATGATGGGCGTCGATTTTTCCCTCCAATGGACATGACATTTCGGCGGGGATTCATGTCCACCACATGGGGGCACTGAAAAGTTGCGGGTTTCGCGGTCGGGTCCAACCGCCATTTTTGAAGACTCAAAAATGGCAGAAATTATCGTGTCTGCTTTTGGATGGCACTCTTTTACTGGTGATTGGGACACCAAAAGGAAACTCATCATTGCTTCTTGTTTTTCTGGTGGCCCCTGCTATTTAAGCACACCCACGTTGCAAGTAAACCAACCCTTGTTTGGTGGCTCAGGACAAACCAAAAGCCTTGGCAACTTTCCAATCCTTGGGATGTGGGTCAAAATAGTGGTGTGTTTGCAGCCCATCAACAACTTTAACAGAACCACGCAAGCAACAACAACTAATTAACAGATCCGAAGAGACGTGAATCTAACCTTTAGGCTTCCTTAGGGTTCCCCAAAGTTCATTAGGGTTGTTTAGTCACCCCAAATCAGCTGTTGTTAAGCTCTAGTCAGCTCCCCCCGCTCCCTCCCCCCTCTCCCCTCCCTTCCCTCCCCCCTCCCAGCCCCTGTAGGATTTACCCGGGTTGCGATGGCTCGCTTGGAAACGGCAACGGCAACTCTTGTGACGAGAAGCTGGCGGCGCCTCCAAAGGTTGCCCCGTGGCGTCCAAAAGCTGTAGGACCACTTCCCGGTTCTCCGTGTTCCTCTCGCGACATGTTTTAGTTAACCTCTCTCCAAAGCGGAAAACCACGTGTTTTTCCTTTTTTGGGGGTCCATTTCCTTGCTGACTCACTTCCAAACTGAGCTTATTTTTGGAGGGGGTTCCAAATCCAAAGAAACGCAGAAACTCGCTTCCGAAAGTCGATTGGCCAAGCAGAGTCCAACAACTGAAGTGAGCCCTCTGTTCAATCATGGAAGCTCACAGGAGGCTTCGGACTACTTTCCTGTTTGGACACCTGGGTCAAAATTCACACACCAGAAAAAAAGGGAACCGAATGAAAGACACCTTTATGAGGTCACAACTCTAGGTTATTATAATTTGCTCAGATGCGGGTGTCTCAAAATAGGGAAACCTACAAAAAAGGTTGTTTCCTTTTGCTTTCCATTTCAAACAGCCCAACAATCGCTTCCCTCGAAATAGACGAGCTGCCCATCTGGTGGGAGGATGGGAGGCGAGCGCCTTGGGAGACCGAGACCCCCCCCGCGGTGACGGTGTCCTTAGCGAGCCTTGGCCAGTGCGATCGATGCGCATAATCAAAGGGGGAACATTGAGTTTAAGATTTAAGACAATCTGGCGGGCCTAAAACATCAATCTGGCGGGCCTTCAGGCGGCCTGTCACACAAAAAGATCGGACAGGGGTAACCTCTGAGCAAGAGTTCAATATAGGCAAGCCTGCCTTGAGAGACCCTCTTTCTTTCTAATTGGGGGGGGGGGAGGGGACATTGAGTTTAAGACAATCCCATACTCACCCTCATCTACCTTCGAGAAGACGACATCGACTATGGCTCCTGGCTCATGCTCATTTTCAGAGAACAACTCCGTCTACCCCCTTCAAGCGACTGAAGCTTCATTGACATTTGAGTCATAATAAAAATGGTCGGCATTACAATGGGCACGACCCAGAACCATGCATCAGGAAACGCAAAGGCGGCCCCAACGATTTATGGCTGGGATTGTCCCTTACTAACCTTCATCGGGTTTTTACTGTGGCACAGATTTTCTTGCTGGTGCTCAGTAGGGAAGGAGAAATGGAATGACTCCTATGAACCATCATCCAACTGGTGATTTCCTTTGAGGGGGGTTCATTCCCGCATTCCTGACCACAAGCAAGTTTTGGCCCAACCAAAGCAACCCACCAAATCGGGATGTTGGTACCCCCATTTTTTGCTTGGGCCAACCAACCAGCTTCCCTCTAATGGTTTCCAGCCCGGTTTGGTCAAGGAGGGGTTTCCAACTTACCCTCTGGAACCGGGGAATCCAAATCCAAGTCCAATCCCAACCTCCACAAAGTTACCTGAACCACCAAAGGGTTACCTGAACAGCAACACTTTGGGCGGTTTCCTTTCGGCTTGTCTCTAAAAGCAAACCCATTTCTGGGTTGTGTTTGACTCTCAAAATGGGTGGTTTCCTTTTGGATTCCCTCACAAAAGGAGGTTGCCCACCCCCCCTCCCCACATAGGTAAATTGATTTATCCTCAAAACAAAGAGACTTCCCGCACAGTATTGCCAAAGATTCCTTAAGCTGCCCACAGAGAAGTTGCCTTTTAGCTTTGCGTTAAACTTGTCTTCTCCAGAAACAATTGCTTGGATATCACTTTGGTGGATGCAGCCGTGTAGGATACTGTATAGCAAAAGCGTACTAAAAGAGTAGTGAACAAGGACCAGGAAAAAGAAGCGGTGGAATCTGCAAACAGTTCGAACCCAATCCGTTTTCCAGAGAAAGGGTCCCAAGTTTGGTGTGGTAGCACGAAAACTGTTTGCTTTTGTTTGCAGCCTCCTACTAAAGATGAACAAAACCAAACAAGTTCCAAACGACTACACAGAACACAGGCCAACAACAGTGAAGGTGTGTATAGTAGAGGGCAACAGCGATCTTCCATCGTTTGTGTCCACTGGAAAAAACAAAAGCGTGTCCGGTAGTGATAGATGATCTTCAAAACGGGGAAAGTGCCCGACTTCCGCGAGATCGTGAGTGATCGATCGATCGACTCGGCTTCCGGCACATGAAGGGTTGGACCCCCAGGCCGGTCAGCACGATCTTGCCTCAAGCGTCAAGTTGCCGTTGTTTATTGTTGTTTGAGGTGCCGTGTTGAATATTGTCATGACGAT